AACATAAAACCATACACTGCTTAGGGGAAAAAACAAAGATAAGTTCTATATGCTTTAAAGGGAAAAACAAGGATAAATTCTGTATGTCGTATTTTGTTTCTTAGGGATTTTTAAAAAAATGTTTTCCCTTTAAAATTTCAGCTTTGGAATTGAATAAGTTTAAGAACAGTAATGGCAAATTGATTTATGGGTCCTCTTTAATAATAAAATGCCACAAAAGTGTAGAGATGTAGAACACTTAGAAAGTACTATTATATTTTTAAAAAACTATAGATTAGGGAAACAGTGTAGATAAGTTCCGAGTTAAATAAACCCAACTTAAAATGTAGCCTTATTATTATTTTATGTACACAGTTAAGTACACAGTGAACTCTCACTTATGCAGGGGCCAACAGAAAAAAGCGCATAAGTGAAATAAACGCAACGTAAATTGCAGTGACAATATGAATAAATATGTTTCTAAAGATTAAATGTTAATATTTATACTGTTTTGGTATTTACTATAATTTTACAATAAAAAAAATATAACATACATAAAGATAATTTATTTTCTTACAGAATAATCCTTAATACATGTTTGTATTTGTTTTTGCCGACGTATGTCAAAAACAGTTTTTTCCAGTTCATATAAATGGGAAAAGGGAATTTTTAGAAGCAGAATTAAATTGTAAATAGTCACGAATAGTGTCTAACGCTTCTGATACTACTGTGTGATTTGGAGGAACTTAATCATCCTCGTCAGTATCATCCACCACGTTCTCATCGTCTACAAGTTTAAGTTACACATAAATGAACAGTTCTTCACAAAAAGTTTGATTTTTATGGGAGGGGGTGAAACATCACTTGATAAATTTCTAACGAAAGTACTTGACGTCATAATATGCTGCACAATTCAATAGAATCTAACAACATATTTATTTCTTCTTATCTGTAACAAGGATAGCTTATATAATTGCTTTAATTTTTAATTTAAAACCCTTTTTTTTTAAAAAAGAAAAAATATTTAAAGGATAAAAAAACTAAAATGTTAGCCTAAAATTTCGGCTCATAATTGAAAAATTTATTTTTAAAGTGACGCATAAACGAAGGATGTTTATCATTATTTTCCTACCTAATGTACTGGGACCTATAAAAATCGTCGTATAAATGAAAAAGGTGCATAAAAGAGGTGGTGCATAAGTGAGAGGTCACTGTATAGCTTTTCATATGATTATTTTCATATTCTTTGAACAATAAAATAATTCCAACAAAGTAAATTTACTACCACTATTTTAAATTTCTATAGCCATAGGAGAAAAAAAATTAGTACATTTTGTTACCGGTCAGTGGTTAGAAGCATTTTAAGCAGTAGCCACTTTTTAAAACAAGTGCCCATTTTCTGAAACTTTGGAAATTGTAAAAAAAAATTTTTTTAGTGATCATTAAATTTTTTAGAAGTTATTATTTTCTTTTGTATTGAGTTTATAAATTTCTAATGTTTATGCTTGCATCCATTCTAAATTTAGGAAAATTTTCTGGTCTAACATTGAGCCAGTAGTATAGAAGCCATGTCAGCAAAACATGAACTAACCACATTAGCCGACTTCTGAACATAACGGAATCAATCTAGTTTCTGTCCATCGAGAAGGGAATCACTCATTCATATATAACGAAGGAACGGCGGCCCGCTTTAATCGAATACGTTCTGTCACCTCATTCAGACCACAGATCTCCCCCCTATCCATGTCCCCCGAGGGGTAACCCCCTCATAAACTCCTTCAATAAGACAGCATCTTATTAAAAATGCATCGAGCAGAGATAAAAGCTGAAACTGACTCATGGAATTTCTGCTGCCGATTGGGGGCTGATATGCTCTTGGATTTTCCGAAACCAATTGACGTCAGCGGGAAAAAAAAGATATCGTTGCCAACAAATGCTAGTCATCTTGGGTGGAATACGAAACGCAAAACTGGAAGTGAAATGTCAAGTAAAAGTTGTTAGTTTCATTACTTATTTAGTTTTCCAAATAACAATTTGATTTTCAAAATAGTGTAATAAATAAAAATCAATTTACGATATCGTTGCCAACAAATACTAGTCATCTTTGAAGGAATACGAAACGCAAAATTGGAAGTAAAATATCAATGTCAGTAAAATGTCAATTAAAAGTTGTTAGTTTCGTAACTTATTTAGTTTTCAAAATAACAATTTAGTTTTTCAAAATAGCATAATTAATAAAAATCAATTTACGATATCGTTGCTAACAAATACTAGTCCTCTTTGGTGGATTACGAAACGTTGTTACTTTCGTAACTTATTTAGTCTTCAAAGTAACAATTTAGTTTCTCAAAATAGTACTATAAATAAAAATTAATTTACGATATCGTTGCCAACAAATAATAATCATCTTCGGTGTGGAATACGAAACGCAAAACTGGAAGTAAAATGTCAAATAAAATTTGTCAGTTTAATGACTTATTTAGTTTTCAAAATAAGAATTTAGTTTTTCAAAATAGCATAATTAATAAAAATCAATTTACGATATCGTTGCTAACAAATACTAGTCCTCTTTGGTGGATTACGAAACGCAAAAATAGAAGTAAAATGTCAATTAAAAGTTGTTACTTTCGTAACTTATTTAGTCTTCAAAGTAACAATTTAGTTTCTCAAAATAGTACTATAAATAAAAATTAATTTACGATATCGTTGCCAACAAATAATAGTCATCTTCGGTGTGGAATACGAAACGCAAAACTGGAAGTAAAATGTCAAATAAAATTTGTCAGTTTCATAACTTATTTACATTTCAAAATAAGAATTTAGTTTTTTAAAATAGTATAATAAATACAAATTAATTTGTATATGTACTTAACCCATTTAAAGCCAAAACTTTATTTTTTCATCAAACAATTTGAGACGTGATATATTACTTATTATGGTCTAGGAAACCACTAAAACCACTTTCGGGGGTCAGAAATATGAATCCATGGAAAAAAAGGCATGTTTATTCGGAGAAAGTACGCTTTTGTGTTTGGCTCAGGGGAAAGAGCGTTCGCCTTCCAATGAGGTGAACCTGGTTTGAATCTCAGCGATGGCTGTTTGATACGAATTTCGCACCCGGCTTGCACCGACCTCAGAGCTGACGTGAAATATCCTCAGTGGTAGACGGATCATGGATTAGAGTCCCCTTGCTTACTATTGGTCCAGCCAGTATAAGGGAACGACGTTTCCATAACAAGCTCTAAATATCTTCAAATAAAACAATAATATTTCCTTTATTTTTCTATAATTTCTATTAAAATCACTATGTAATTCTCCAAGGCATCTCAGGTGAGTCTTTTTTGGCCTCTGGAGGGGCCTATTTTCCCAGTAATGAGCATTTTAAATTCAGCTGTTCCATCAAATTAGGGTTAGAGTACCCGGCGGCCATGTTTATATGATTTCCAATGCAGAGCGACTTCTTCGCCAAATTCATCACCGTTTAATATTATTTAAACTAGTTCATTTTTACCTCCAAATATTTCTTTTACATTGCTCAAGCGATTTCCAATTATAATATATATATCTTTTTAATTTTGGTCGCCTGAAAAAAAAATTTTGTTTTCTCCGAAAAATCTTTTCCGAATCAATATTTACATGTCACTTGGAGCTTTCTTCACTAATACTTATTTTTAGTTGAAGAGAGAAAATTCCCACTTTTGCTCTCAAATTACTAGGTTTAGTATGGAGAATGGCAAGTATGGAACATTAATTTTAAGAAATACGACAGTTCTGAATAATTAATTATTGCTAATATGTTTCTACGCTATTTGAAATTGATTTTCCACATGCCTTTCCCCTTATTCAACACGTTTTTCCAATTAGCTTCTCAAATACTACTGGACAAACATTCATAATTCACAAATATCTTTAGCAAAATGTGTCCCCAAAAATGTCCCTTTTCCGCACTTGCATTCCTATCAGGTTCTAGAATACAACCCACAGACGTTGCCTAGACAATCCAAAAAGTGGGGGTAAGGTGAGGGGGGGGGGATAAAGTAGTGGGAGTAGTCCATTTTATGGACAGAAAAGTAACTGGTTATTCGTGACCCTTAAGCTTTTATGGGAACCGGTAACATTGATCCATGAATATTTCATAGTCACAAAAGAGGCTATTAGTCGCACGCGGAATGGCAACATTGATCATTCATCATAACACTCACGTATTCTTCCCCCCTCCCTTCCCTCGAAAGCTGCGTGAAAGAGAAATGAATGACTAGGTTTGAACCATTAATTTCTTTAACGGCGAATGGCAGCAGTCAATAGGAAATGTTTCGATGCATTTTAAAATTTTAGTTCTTTGATGTCATTTGTTTGAAACTTCCATTATTCGGTTTTTAACAGATTAAAAAGTAGTTCTTAATATATTGGATGTTTTTACAAAAAACAAAGAGTTTTAAAAGTACGGATTCATTAAAAAAAGTGCTTTACCAAAATCATTCATCATAAACCATTTAGAAGGATAAAATAGGGGTAATCCCAGAACAAAAAGTATCAGGAATGCGACATTTATAAGACACTTTTGCTCAGTGAAAATAATTAGATTCCTCGCACGAAAATGCTAAGAATGTGACATCAATGAGGCATTTAAGGATAAAACAAAGGAAACCCTGGTGGTTAAAATACTAGTAGAGTGACATTGATAAGGCACTTAACAGAGAAAAAGTAAAGGGAATCCTGGTACCCAAAAATACGAAAGACATTCATGAGGCATTTAAGGATAAAATAAAGGGAATCCTGGTACAAAAAGTTCTAGTAGAATGACATTTATCAGACACTTAACAGAGAAAAAGTAAAGGGAATCCTGGCACCCAAAAATACGAAAGAAATGACATGAAGGAAATGCGAAGCTTGTAACATAAACCTAATATCAGAATTGTTAATAAGATATGGAGATTATTCTACTGTATATAACTACAGGGAAAATCTTAAAAATATCTTCATTTATATTAAAAATGTCGCAAAAGAGAAATGTTACATACCTGAATTAAAAACTTCAGATCTGCAATGAGAACACGAATCCAATCTAGATCTTTAAAGTTCTTATGACTGCACGAAAGTGATGGAAATCAACAGTGTTGCCATGCACTAGAATATAAAATTGTTAAATTTAATAAAAATTCTTTAGGTTAAGATAATGTCATGATAAACTCTGGGAAAACATTCAAATGATAAGCTAAATACCTTTAATGGATATACCTTAATTCCCATAGTAAATAAAATTCTTTTTAAATCTGTTTTTAGTCATACTATATAATTATTATACTTTTAATTTTGACTAAAGACTTATTTTAAAAAAATTATTTTAAATTTTCATACAATGAAATTTATAAAAACATTTTATTTCACGTTGTTAGGAAAATGTAAATAAAACGTTAATGTGTTTTCAAAATCATGAGTATATATGGTTGTACGATACAGTCGTTACATGAAACAAAAGGATAAAGTAAAATGTACTCAATATTTAGTTATATTTCGTTAGTTATGAAGTTAAGTATTTTGACTTGTTTAATGAAACAAAAACTTTACTTGTAACGAAAATGTAGAATGAACTTATTACTCCTTCTCTCTTCATTGATAAAATTATTCCCTAACTTTTCAATTTTTCTATTAGGTCCCGTGGATGTTGAATTGGATATTTACTGTACTGAAAAATACTTAAATATAATCTAAATGTCCTTAAGTCGGTGAATAATACCCAACTATAATAACAAATATTGACTTTTAATCTTTGATTGGGCCAAATTTTGATTAATGCACCACTTATAACAAAAGTATTACATTTTTAATCAGCATTCGTAAAAAAAAAATTTAAATAATCCTTTACTCGTAACGAAAATGTTACATTTTTAACCTTGCATTTGTGCTATTTTTTAAAAAAAATTCCTCCACTTGTAACGAAAATGTTACATTTTTAGCCTTGCATTTGTGCCAATTTCTTTTTAAAAAAGTCCCTTCACTTGTAACATAAATGTTACATATTTAATCTGTATTTGTGCCAATTTCTTTTTAAAAAAGCCCCTTCACTTGTAACATAAATGTTACATATTTAATCTGTATTTGTGCCAATTTCTTTTTAAAAAAGTCCCTCCACTTGTAACATATTTAATCTGCATTTGTGCCAATTTTTTTTTAAAAAAAGTTCTTCCACTCGCAACAAAAAAATAATTTTTAATCTGCATTTGTGTCATTTTTTTAAAAAAAAATACTCCATCCACTTGTAACAAAAATGTTACTACAAATATTATGTTAATGTCGTTAAATGTGATTATTTAGAGCTACTTACTTTTTTGTTTTATCATTCTACAATTTTGCATCTTTAAGTTTCGATTTTCCTTTCAGTTCTATCATTCCATGGATGTGAAATAATACGATGTCAACTGCAATGAAAACTCATTAAATATACATTCCTTTATATCTCTAACTATAACATACATTAACAAAAATACAAGAAAAGAACGCACTTTATTTCATTTTTTTTAAATTTATTTTTAACCTGTGCTTGTTTCAAATTTTTTCCTGAAAAGTCCCTTTACTTGCAACGAAAATGTTGGAAGAACTAATTTATTCTTTTTTTTTCCATTAATATTTTATTTTCCTATCACTTCCATCCTTCACCCTATCTTTTGTATTTTCCCATATGTACTTTTCCTATCCTTCGTGGAGGACTTTTTGATGAAACCAACCCTCATTTGGGTTACATGAAGAGGAAAACCACTAAAACCTCCCACGGATAACCTGGAAGCAAGGAGACTAACCCATGATCCGTCTACCACTGATGATATTTTACGTCAGCACTGTGGTCGGTACAAGCCGGACACAGAGTTAGCATCGATCAGCCATCGCTGAGATTCGAACCCAGTTCACCTCATTGAAAGGCGAACGCTCTATCCCCTGAGACATCGCGGTTTAATTAACATATTTTTATTTTATAACCGTCGTTGGACAACCACCCAATATTTGGGCTTACGACTACTATTGTTCAATTCCGTAGCCTTGCGGTTTTAAACCCTATCCAGAAGACAAGGGAACTTCTGGATCAAGTATTGGGAGAAATGTGCCTTATAGGGAAAATTTTTTGATGGAACTAACCCGCATTTGCGTTACATGGAGAGAAAGACTACGAGAACCTCCAGTGGTTAGCTGACGGCGAAGGGACTCTAACCCATGATCCGTCTACCACTGAGGATATTTCACGTCAGCACTGTGGTCGGTGCAAGCCGGACGCTGAGTTAGCATCGACCAGCCATTGCTGGATTTGAACCAGGTTCACCTCATTGAAAGGTGAACACTCTGTCCTATGAACCACCACTGCTCAATTAACATATTTTATTCCAGTCATTGAACAGCCGACCCAATTTTGGGTCTACTACTACTAATGCCCAACTCCGTAGTCTTCTTTTGAGCCAATCCAGAAGACAAGGAAACTGCTGGATCAGTACCCACAGAGTGATTGATTTGATATGGGAGCATGGAGGACTTTGCAACGCGTCAAATTTAACGTGTATCAGTCACTATTTACTCGACAGGGAAGACTTCGGCCGCAAGGGATCGAACCCACTAACGCTTGGACATGGGCCTAGTGCCCTACCCACCATGCTACCCGGGCTAATTAATATATTTGAGATCACCTCTTTGAACCATTGAGTCCTAATACCCGAAGATCCGAACATTAGATTAAAAGTTATTCTGGGTGAAATTTTCTTCGAGCACTGGCACATACCCCAAAATGCCTTTAATATCGCAATAAATATAAATTTTAATCAATCTATTCCCTGTTTAGTTCCACAGTTTCATTTTATAGATTAGATACTTGAATATTTAATCCATATTTAAGCTTGGATGCAAAAATGGAGAAATTCTAAATGTCATAACTTGTGTCTGAAATAGAAAAATGAAAGAAGCACTCTGAAATCTATTTACTCAGTCATTTCGGATTTTCGAATGATTCATCATTTTCGCTCTTCTCTCCTCCCCTCCATCTTATGCAAAATGATGAAATTTTAATGTTTTCCCCCCTCTGGGCCCTCTTGAAATTGAAATAAGAGATTCTTAAATCCGACAGAATATTATTTCATTTTGACAGTTAAATATAAGTTTTTTCGAATGTCACATTTCATTAGAGACTCCGATGAATTTCGATTTATTTAGCAAAAGGAATACTCAAAGCATTTTTAGTGAGAGAATTTTAGAATTTAGCGGAATTTGCTTGAATTCCGCAAACTAGTTTATAAAATCAAATAGTAAATTGAGTTACTGGAAATAATATATATTATTCTAAATACATACAGTAGATGGCCAAACTATTAGACGCACTATAAAATTCTATATAAAATCTTAATTTCTCAGGTGATATTATACAGCTTTATTGATTTTACACTACTGAAACCGGTTATCGCTAGTTTACGTTAGTGTATCAATTTTTTAACATTGTAATGCAATACGTTAAAAATAAATACAAATAGGAAGTATATAAGAAATATTCTGAATAAAACCCGTCGCATGTATGTTTAAATACAAAAGTATTACATATTAACACGTGAAAAACATTTAATTATTAAAAAACTACAGTGCGGCTAATAATTGGGTCTAATTATTGTAATATACTAATATAATATCCGATATAATAACCATTTTATATTTACGTAATACATCGTCGAATTTATCCATTCATCGAAATTGTATTATATATCGTCTAATTTAACCCACTGATTCACGAACGTAAACGAGTACAAACCGGTTTCAGTCGTGAAAAAACAATAAATCTGAAAGATATCACCTGATCATTGAGATTTCACATCTATAATATAACTCGGCAATTGGATAAATTCGACGATATATTATATATATATTAGAATAATATGTTATTATGTTATATCAGGTATTATGTTATTTTATTATATTGTAATAATTAGAGCAAACTATTAAACGCACAGTAGTTTTTTAAAAAATTACATGTTTTGCACGAGTTTGTTTACAATACTTTAATATTTAAACATACATGTAACGGGTTTTTATTCAGCAGATTCTTTTTATACTTCTTATTTGTATTTATTTTTAGCGTATACCGGTTTCTACAATTTAAGCGGTAAAAACAATAAAGCTGTATAATATCACGTGATAATTGAGATTTTTATTCCTTTTTTCGGAACTTTTTCCCCTGATTTTCATTATCACTTTTCTTTTTCCCTTCTTTCATTGTTCTGTAATTTTTCCTTGTTTTCTTTACATTTGAGATTTTATATATATATANTATATATATATAATAACAGGGCTACATCTCTGTTATCATTGGTGTATTCATCTTAAGAAATGCTGTCAAAACAATAATAAGTTATCAAAAGGTTTATTAAAAGTTATGCTGGTGGTTATAACAGTTCACATCCGCCCTCCACAAGGGAGGGGGAGTGGACAAGACTCCGGATGGTTCCGGTAGATGTTTATTGGAACACGTTATTCAGCAAGAGACATCCGAAAACCTTCGGTCTTGCATTAAATAGTACAGAGATTGGTGTAATTAGGTTCCAGTCGTACATACCTTTGTAACTCTACGCACTATGGAAAATCCTTTAATGCTTCCAAATATGGAAGTGAAAGAGGGACAAGATTCTAAAAATAACTCCTCCTTTCAAATATAAATCTAATTATTATTCAATGGTATGTTTTCAGCCTTGAATTCCCAAAATAGAATATCTCTACGCTTACTCTTTAACAAAGACATTTTATGAAACCGAAAGAGTTTTAATTCTTTTATTAATACAAAAGTATTTATTATTTTTGTATTACATATATATTAAAAAGGATAGGAATTAAATTCAGGGAAGAAAAATAAAAAGAACAAAATATAAGAAGAAAAGATCGATAATAAATTCTAAGATAAAGACTTTCAAGTCGCGAAGTTATTTGAAAGAAGAACTTAAATCTCTTAGACGTATTTCATAAGCAGTTCTTTATCTTTCAAAAGCAGTCTTCATAAAGCAGTCTTCATAAATATTTAATTTTAAATAATATTTATATAGACTATTTTGATTTTTGGCGTTCGTAAAAGATTAAATATTACTGAAAACTAGCTAAAAGCTTTTAGAACTTTCTCAAAAGATGACATCGTACATTAATATTTCTTCTCTTAGGATTGAAAAATCTGAGAAACCTCTGACGAATTTTTTAAAATATAAACATATATGTAAATTTTAAAAATTCCTTTTATCGTCAATACAAAAATTTTATTTTTAAATCTATAAAAATGAATATTTGCTTTCAAATTATGTAAGTATACAAATATGAAATTATTAAATTTTAAAAATGTAATTTTTCTGAACCTCAAAGTATTAAATAAGAATTTCTTCATCAATTGCTTGGGTAAAAAAGAGAACGTGTAAATATTACCATTTTAAATTCATGGTTTAATTGTGAATTTAAAAAAAAAAAATTCAATACAAGCAATGTTAACGGAAACATTTACATGCAAATTTGTAGCTAATAATCAAAGAACAACCATGACTGTCAATAGAACGCATACTTTTTAACTTTTATAAATATATTTCACGATTTAGATAATGTTTTTAAACCTTCTAAGACGCATGCCTTGAATGAGGCATATTTTACAAAGAAGTATGTAGCTTTTAAGATAGTAAACTCATAAATGCCTTAGAAAAAATGTTTTTGAAAAATAAATTTGTTGTTCTTGTTGTTTTAGTTTATTTACGTTGCACTGGAACTGCTCTAATGGGCTATTGGCGACTGTCTGGGAAACATCCCTGAGGCTGATCCGAAGACATGCCATCACAATTTTGATAACCCCCCTCGGTAGCCCAACGGTCTGTGGGCGAAATCGAGTACTTTACTGTAGAACAGGTTTAACGAGAACTAATACCGCACACCCTCGGTACTTCGTAGACACTCACCCGGACACTGACCGCAGCCAGTGATGCTTGACTGCGGTGTTCTACTGGGAACCGTGTCTTTACAATCAGTCCACTGCAGGACGAAAAATAAATTTAAATTTTATATCTTTAGCTAGAGCTAATTATGACATAAAAATTGAAAAATATTTTCCCTTTTTTAACATATTGTAGTATATATTCATAATGTATTTCTTTACATTTTAGGAATGAAACAAAATACATTTGACTGAAATAAAACATTCCTATGATCTAAAAGTATCCAAAAGGTTGCTTTAATCAAGTATTTTACCTTTGAATTATTTTTCATTGTAACTAAAACCTCAGACTAACGGGTTTATTTTTAATCAATAACAGATTGTATTTTTGCACAGGTGATCGATCTGTAAAGACATACAAATAAAAAAAAATATTAAAATATTTTTAGAGATAAAATTATACCAACTGTTGTCCAAAATATTGGACACAAGGTTTCAGGTTTATATTTGAAATATTTCTACGCTAAAACACGAGATCGTGGAATGTACTTACCCAATGTGGAATCAGAAAACTTATCTTTCTTTGAACTTATCTTTAATCTTTTTTGAACTTTTCTTTGAACTTATCTTCGAATTTATCTTTATTATCTCCGTGCGGTAAAATACAAAATCATATCTGACTATATATCTTGCCAGTTCAGGAAGCAACTGAAAAGTAGATGAAACTATGTTTATAGTTTGTATGTCCAAAAATTTAAATTCAAGTGAAGATATTTTTCTATGAAAATATTTTGAAATTATAAAATGAAAGATAATTAACAAAACAGCCTCTCTTCCTTGAAAACAATTAGGGACTTAAAACTGAAACTGCCCTTTTAAAACTATTTCACACTCGGTTCTGTAAAACTATTCTTCTTTAAATTACCGAAAGAAATATTAATATAAAATATATAACAGGTGGGACATATTAATAATACAAACTATTAAACTAGACCCGTGGTGGCTTAAGGGATAAAGCACTCGCCTCCCAATGAGGTGAACCGGGTTTTATTCCCAGCGATGGCTAGTCGATACAAATTCCACCCCCCCCCCCCGGCTGTCACCGACCACAATGCTGACGTGAAATATCCTCAGTGGTTGACGGATCATGGGTTAGAGTCCCCTTGCCGTCAGGCTAACCGTGGAAGGTTTTCGTGGTTTTAATCTCAATGTAAAGCAAATGCGGTTTAGTTCTATCATAAAAGTCCTCCACGAAGGCAAAATTCTCCTAATACTTGATCCAGGAGTTCTCTTGTTTTATGGATTGCGTTCAAAATTGCAAAGCTACGTAGTTAAATATTAGTAGTTGTAAACCCCAAAAAATTGGGTTAGCAGTTCAATGACTGCTATAAAAATAAAATAAATCTATTTTGGTAAATCCAATGTTTTTTCGGTAAAACGTAGTATTTTCCTGTCTTTAACATCAACAAATGTTTCTCTCAAATGACACCTTCATAACACTCTTTCCTCTGAATTCTTCAACTTGAAAAGAAGAAATCATTTCCCAGTCATAGTTTGAATTCTATCAATGGCTCATTAAAGGCGACGCTATTTGAATTTAATGGATACCCCTGACTGCATTGTTCTCCCCCACCCTCTCCAAAACTCCTACTTTCGAACCGATGCCCCCATTGTGGAGTTGATGGTAAGTGCCGTTGCACCTAACAGCCTAATTTCTATTCAAATGACCCTTCCAACACCCCCGCAGTCCTCTTCCGCCGAATATTACGTACTCAACAACCCCCCTAATATGTGACGGGGACTGGTGTTTAACGTTTGAAAGTTTGTGAACATTTTTCGTATGAATCTAGTTTACAAGAGTCATTTTATTTTCCTCCTTCCCCCTCCCTAATTCCTTTTCGTTGTGTTTCCGCATTGACTTACATCATAATAACAAATACTATCATCTTTCAGATTTAAATTGAAAAACAATCATCCTAATAACAAACACTATCATCCTTTAGATTTAAACTAAAAAATAATCATCTTAATAACAAACACTAGTGCACTAGTGTTTGTTATTAAGATGATTACTTTTTAAATTTAAATCTAAAAAAAAAACTTCTTCCCTAGTAGAAAATTTCTTCTATTTGATAATCTGAATGCAAAGTAAGAAATTGTAAAAAAAAACATTGAAGTCTATCCTAATTTTACTGATACTATCTATTATGCTATTACTGTCTAATATTAAACTATTACAATCTAATAGTCCTACTCTTAATTATAATATTGGCAATGGCCAAAAAATTAATATATTGCTCTCGCTTCGCAACGACATCAGAAATTATTAAAGATATTAAGAGTTGCAGACTGATCAATGTAAAGAGTCGCGGTGGCTCAGGGGATAGAGAGTGCGCCTTCCATGAGGCGAACCGGGTTCAAATCGCAGCGATAGCTGGTCTATGCGAATCCCGCATCCGGCTTGTACCGACCACAGTGCTGACGTAAAATATTCACAGTGGTAGACGGATCATGGTTAGAGTTCCCTTGCCGTCAGGCTAATCGTGGGAGGTTTTAGGGTCTTTCATTTCCCTGTAATGCAAATGCGGGTTATTTCCAACAAAAAGTCCTTCACGGAAGCAAATTTCTCCCAATACTTGATCCAGGAGTTGCCTTGTCTTCTGGGTTAGGTTCACAATGACAAGGCTGCGGAGTTGAACATTGGTAGTCGTCAACCTAAAAGTTGGGTCGGCGACTTTGGGTTGACAAATTTATACTTTTATAGTTGTCTGATATGAAACGTCTTTTTTCTCCTTCCGATTCTTACTATTAAATTTTTTTATTATTTTATAAAAAGTAACTAAAATAAAAATTTTCTTTGTTGACCCTAAGTAGGATTAGACTTTAAATTTCTTTTTACTTTACTTGTTTTATTTTTTAATTTGCACTTCAAAAAGTAAAAATAATTTTACTGAAACTCAATCTTTGTCTTTCGATATCCGTAATTTTCGTTTACCGTTCTGAGATTGATTCTCAGTTTATTTTTCTATTCTCCAAATCACCAAACATAGAGAAGCCCCCGATTGTAAACTAATACCCTAACCTAAAATACGAAAGTAGACGAGCTCAAACTGCGAAAACAGTTCTGGGGGTTGACAAGAGCAACGGTTTGGGAATTCTCATTAATTAGAATTCACATTAATATACAATAAATCATATATTTCCGTAAAGTAGTTCTAAAATACTGTCGGACCTCTATTTAACGAAGTCACAAAATCCCGAAAAATGGTTCGTTTATCGGGAAAATTCGTTGAATAGAAAATTACCTTTTTAAATACTAAAACGACACAAAACACTTTTCAAAATTCATAAACACTAGACATAATTACAATAACAATTGATACACTATTATCTTACAAAGTATCGACTATTTATTTCATAAATCTTAATCCTAAAAGAAATCGGCATGGAAAGCAAGCATAGAGCAGAACATTAAACAGTGTTACACTATCATGCTACGTACATTTCCAACTAAAAAAAGGTAAATTTATGCATAAAATTATAGACGCATTTATTATAAAAGTAATTTTAAACATACATTACCCCTTTTTTTTAAGTTTAATTGATACTTATAAAATTCGTTCATTTTGTCTGAGTTTTTCGCTTGAAATGCAAAAAAAAAAAAGGGAAACCGATTTTACTGTTTTCTCTATAAGTTAAGTGGTTTCTAAAACCAATTCAAGGTCATTTTCCCCCATAAAATGCGTTAACAAGTTTAAAATCTTCTGAAATATTTTGGGAACTAGGGAAAGTGGATCTCAAAGAAAAGTTCCTTAAATAAAAGATTCACTTTGCTATTTGGAAGTTATTTTAAAAAGAAATTTCCAAAATGTTCTTGGTTCCTCGAAAAAATTCGCAAAATAATCTTCGAAAAAGGAAAGTTCGTTAAACAGAAGTCCGACTGCACATCAAAATATAAGATATTATTGTAGTGTTGTAGTATTGAAATATATTCTTATACAAAAATAAAATTTCGCTTATTTTTATAAAATATAAACATAGAAAGTATTTTGTCAACATACATAAAAGGAAAGATGTCTTTTTTTTTTCTCTCCTGGCTTAGAGGCAGAAAAGGAGCGAAGAAGCATTTGAGAAATGAAAGCAATGATCAGATGTGACATCCCGGATCCCCGAAACCAGGATAACATGGTGCCGGATCACGGGGTGCTGAGTACGAATGTCATCCGGGGATTAAAATGAAGCTTACTCCCTCTTTCTACGCACTAAAAGGAAGCAGGGGAGAAAAAAAATCAAAATTTCAGCCTACCTTTTTCTTATCTTAATCATAAATATTACTGAATAACGGAAAAAATTTAAATGAAAAAAAATATAAAACAATTTAAGTTGAAAACTATAACATCATACCAATCAAAAATTCATTTATATATATTTTTTTACTGCATCGATTCATCTGCTTAATTTAAAATCATTATAGGGGAGAGTCGGTTAGCCCCGCCCACTTAAGGAGTATTGCTTATATTTCTGTATAATATTGAGTAATAATCAATATTTTTGTATGTTTCTATTGCTTTATCATCTATTTAAATAATGCAAAAATAATAAACTAAAAAAAAATTAGTTTAATTTAAAAAAAAAAGAAATTTAAAAAATTTGACTACTGTATTCAACATATTTTCAAAACTATTGTTTACCATGTTAACAGCTGCATAAATAATTGAAACTTTAAAAATTATCTTTTTTTAATATAGCAATTAATGTCCGATGGCCCATTCACTAGAAAAAATATTCTATACATATGAAATTGACAGTGGGCGGGGGTACGCGACGGGGAACCTGTTTGATATTGCTGCACTATTATTATTATTATTATTATTACTATTGAAGTACAATAGCCACTTATTGCACAAGATAGCCATAGCGGTTACGACTTCACAATTAAAAAAACCAACATTATTAATACTAGTAACTACAATTATCACTATTATACACACGTGTAATAAATTAAGAGAATTTGCAGACTGTGTCGATTATCTGTAGAACTACTGGACCGATTTTAATGAAATTTGATAAGTACATACATTGATACAATACAAAACAAATAACCATTCAACAATTGTAATACACAAACATGATAGTTCGTAACACTCATTGGAGACGGACGGTATGAAATTGCCACAGGAAACAATAAACTGCCTTATTTCAAGTATGAAATCACGCTGCAAGGCATGTATAAGATGGGACCATACCCCCTATTAACCCATTTTTTTTTTTTTGTTTATTCTGCGACAGCTGTTTCATACCACAAGGAGTGCTACGCACGACCACGTGTGTGTATTACAATTGAAATAGTTGTTTGTTTTGTATTGTATTGTATCAATCATATCACGTTTCATTAAAATCAGGCCAGTAGTTCTAGAGATAATCAGCCAAGTCTGCAAATTCTCTTAATTTATTACACGAGTGTTTTATAATGCTAGTGTATAACACCAGTGTATTACTCTTACACAGTGTATTATAATTTCAATATCAATTAATATATCTCATTTCTCAGAAAAAAGTACCGTTTACAGTTTTATGTTATAATATATTAAAAAAATATTTTTTTTTTAAAAAAAGGGAACAAACTTTCAAGTTACTGGTCGATGTAGGTTTTACAATAAAAAAATGTTTTTTTCTGTCTTTGAAGATTTCAAAATTTTTTTTTTTCTTTTTGTGGCCTGAATCTAATTATAAAAAGGAATTCAGATAAAGTACATGGAGATAGTCCTTCACATGGGCTATTTTTCCTCGACAATTTTTTTGCGGATAAATAATATATAATAAATTATAAATTTGATAACACTACGCGTTAATATTATGCGTTATTTATAGCTTTGCATTGTGTATTCGCTTACACAGATATTTTGAGAGGCTAAACTTTTTTTCCTAAGTTCATACAACTAAATTTTTCCGTTCAAATTTAGGATTCATGTGTGCACGAAATTAATTAAACTTTACGAATCTTATTTTTATTTTTTTACAAAAAATTATTAAATATTATAATACCAAAAAAGTATTTTTTAAATTCCTACTACTAGTTCACACTCACCCTGCATCTTGTTCAAATATTTAATCGTTAATATATTCTACAAACGATAGTTACTATACTATATATTCAGTTTATTACATATTTTAAAGATAACATGGTTTAAAAAGGTCTAGCGATAGTCAGTTCTTCGAGCAAACTATCTGACCAGACCATTTCTATTTTAAACGTTTTATACCTGCTAGCGAATTTATTGCGATTGACAGTTGAAACGTGGCATTTGGTTGTGTTAGCAACTGTTCTTCCTATTCTATTTCAAGCAAGCTAAGCCCGTCATATATGAATTTTCTTAAAAGGCACATTCTTTATTCTTTCACAAGTATTAGATAATTGCTTACTTAACACAAAGGCATGCAGAGCATAAACTAATTGCGCCAAAAAGTTGTTCGATTCACAAAACAGAAACAATCACGTTTAGAGTAAAATACACAAACGAATAATAAATTTAGGTTAAATAAAAAACACAGACGAGAACAAATTATATTTGAACAAATTCGATCCGTGGTACAGTGTTGTATTTATTAACTTACGCTCTTCATTATACATCTTTATTATACATCTTCATTATACATAGAACATTCGAAATGAAATCTTGATCTTCGTGAGCTCCAGCACCCTCTGTCTTACCTGGTGTCATCTTTGAGTGTTAATCCTTTTTAAAGAAACTTAGGTTTACCTTAGAACATTTTTAATCTTAGAGGCACTTAGCCTTGAAAGGGGGACACTTGAAATTTTAGTCGAGTATTTTAATTATTCTATTAATCTTATTTTAGTCTTATTTGTATTTAATGTGATTTTTCATATTTTTACCATTTGATGTTTTACCTGACCTTACTTTTATATGTTTTTACCTGTATTTGTGACACTTTTATTGTTGGTTAATTTTATTCACTTAGATGTTTTAAGCACTTTTAATTTTTATTCTGTTTTATTTTTATCATCTTTTCGATTTTGGGATTTTTCCTACGTGTATCAATCTTTTTAGTTTTGATTTTACTTTTCTGTAGTTTTGTAGTGTTTAGTTCACGTGACAACGGGTGAAACCCTTATACGCAAACTCCTTCTGTGGTAGGTCGGTTACTATTAGTCTTATTAACTTACGTTAATTAATATTTCAATTTATGTGGCGAAACTTACTCGACCTTAGCCACAATATCCAGAACATTAGCTAGCACTGAGGTCTTAGGTCAAGTGGTTGGAATCCCCTGTTTCATTTTATGTATTCTCTTAATATATCTGGGTGCCTTAAATAAATCGATGCTTTATTTATATGAATGTTTTATATGTATAGATATATCTGGGTATATAAGATATATCTGGATATCTTATTCATATATGAATGTACTATATGTATAGCATATATGTACTATATAATCGACATATTTGTGATGTTGTTCATCGCACATTCTCACCCTCTACCTCTTTTGTTGAACCCATTACTCATCATTAAGTTAAAAATGTAGAGAAAACTTGGGAAATAATAAAGGTTAATGAAAAGAGAAAAAGAAAAATAATTTTTACTAAAATTAAAAGAAAATATTATTTAAAAAAGCATTAAAAAGCTAGAAAACTAAATAATGAAAATATGTAATCTCTTCATCAGCTCCCACGATTATATCAGCATAAAGGAGTGCTTTCTAATATTGTATCAATGTAGCCAAAGAAAAATATATATACACAATAGTGTAAGGAGCACTAAAAAAATTAAACGAAAATAGAACACAAGTTAAAAAATATATACGAAATAAAAACACATCAAGCAAAAACTAGAAAATGCAGACTACACTAAACGAAATCTATAAAACGAGTAGCGGATTCAAATAAAATACTTCTACCAGAATCTTCCAAGGATGATTTAAATTAATATTGATATGATTTGGTGGTTTTTCTCTCCATGTAATGCATATGCTGGTTAGTTCCATCAAACAGTCCTCTACGAAGGCAAATTTGTCCCAATACTTTATCCAGGAGTTCTTTTTCTTGTAGATTTATTTTCAAAATTACAAGGCTACGGAGTCGGTAGTCGTAAACTTAAAATTGGTTCAACGGCGGTTATAAAATAAAATCAGACAAAAGGCATAGACTAATTGTAACAAGTTTAAAAAATATCATCAAATTTCCGACTAGCTGAAGCAGAGAAATTTAAAATGAAACGCGGCTACAAAGGACAATACAAGGATCAATTACTTCTTGACCGATACTGGTAAAATTTATTTTCAAATAGAGTTGACCGTCAGTCAAAATCTTGACCGTTTTCAGACTAGCTCGATTGATTAAAATTTCAACTCGAATACCGTGCCAGATGAAACCATGTAGCTAAAGTTGTTTCTTAAATATTGCAAATCAAAACTTTTTGAAGTCTTAAGATCAATAAAAATTTCTACCACTTTTCGATGCATACATACCCTCCAATTACTACGGAATTTCTGTAGATATTCAAATTGGTAGTAATACTGGTGGTACCAATTTTCTATTGGTAGTAAAGTTAATGTGTTGACATTTAAATTAAATAAAATTGGTAAATTTTTGCCTACCACTACGCATAAATAATTTAAACAGCTATATTAAAGGTCAGTTATAAAAAAAATTCGTGCTCTAAAGTGTTTTTTTTTTTTTTTTTAGGATTTCGCTTAAAACCTAAATTTTGGAAGGTATGAGTATTCAAACAGACATTCTGACAATTAAAATACAACGTTTTAAAATATAATTAAATTCTCTATTGAACTAATTAGATATAATAGAAGAGTCATTGTTTAAAAATATTATTATTTTGATTTTTTTTAAAGTTGAACTAATAGTTTTCGTTGGATACAGAAAATGAACTGAATGTCTTTAATAAACAATACCAAATCATTTATTCATTGCTGAATATACTGCTGTTTTTCAGATGAAAAAGTTAGGTTTTTCTCAGAAAAGAATAATGAATGAAGATTAAAAATGATACTGAAACATGATAAATTAGAAATTATTTTAACGTTAATAATGTGCATGAAACTACTACAGAACTACTGAAGTGCAACTACTACAGAACAACTCCGACTTTCTACATGCGGAGCTCAAGTATGTGAAAATGCAAAATCTCTCTAATTAACCATTACTATTACAATGGTTTTTCTGTAAAGTATTTAATACGATGTTATATGTTCAAATTTGTTTTCAATGTTTATCACTTGCCAAATTATTCTTTTTTATTTTTAAGATCATATAACAATTTTTTGTAATTTTGAATGATTATCCTTTATAGCTATATAGCAACAGCTACCATGACTGGTATTTTTAATATTATAACTGGTGCATAAAAGAAAAAAACGTTTATACGAAAAATGGGAAATAATTCAGCGCAAACCAGAGTATTCGAGAAAAAACGAATCAATAAATATAAAAGTCGAATAAATAAATAAAAACGTTTATAAACCACTAATTTGTGTAACAACAAATTTTTTAATCCTCAATAAAAAAAAAATTTTACTTTCCGTGAATTCTTAGTATTACAGTTAATTTTACTTATCTACTTTTTCTTAATAATTTCTGGTAAAAAATTTAAGTATTTAAAAAAAAAATTAAATTAGCAATTTTTATAAGTAAATTAATTTCAGTGTTTTATTCTTAAAAATAGATCTCTAAATTAACGAAGTTATTTCCTGCTTTAAAACTTATTCAATGATCGAAATTATTTGAATGTTTTTCCGTTTTCTAGCCGGTTTAGAAGAATCGAAGCCATAAGAAGAATCGTCACCTTTTTATAATAATTTACGAGACCTTAGTGGCGCCATCTGCTTATATTCTTATAAAGCTGGTACGATATTTGTAAAATTATTTTCTGAGCAATAAAATTACACAAAAACTCAAAAAAAATCTATTTCTTTATTTAAAATGATAATGAAAATAGCATATGACAATACTAATAATAACAATGAAAAAATAATTCCGTTACTGTTTTGTCAAGCTCATGTTGTACAAAACATTAAAAATCGCAAAATTTTTTTATAGGACATATAATACATAATATAAATTAATATGTAGATTTAATATCATTAAATTTATTTATCTTTAAGTTAGGAAGGAGTAATTTCAAAGTACGAAAATTTTAAATAATTTAAATTTAATATAAAAAAACTGAAAATCAATTAAAAAATTAAATTTAAAATATTAAAATTTAAAATTATATTAAAAAGTATTAAGTAAAACAAAAAATTTTTTCAGCCTATGTTTTTAATTACTTCATCATAATGGTATTAGATATGAATTATTAATATTTAAAGAAGATTATATTAGGGCAAGTTTGTAAATCATTGGAAATTCCACGCAGGAAAGCTAAATTTTATTACCTTTACTATGAATTGAAGAAGAATAAAATATTTTTCAATTTCAGGCAACTCTCCTGATTTTGAATAATTTTTTATTTTTATTTTTATTTTTTAAAGATATGTTTTGTCAGCTATTCAGTTTTGACGGTGCTGCCCTCTTTTGAAAGATAAAATAGATATTTCGAGTGTCTCCGTTATGCTTACTGAATGCATTTAATAACAATAAATAACAATTTTTAGTTAAAACAAAGTGTTTTCTAAAATAAAAAATTTAAATAAAATTTCGAATAAATTTTTATTAAAGGAAAGCATATGTAAATAAGTCTTTACGTAAGTAAGTTTTTATTTGCATAAAGTTAGAAGGAAAAGTTTAAACTTTCATCATGAACTTCTCAAATCATAAACTTCAAAATCATGAACTTCCAGAATGTGTGCAACTTCAACAAAAAAAAATCAATAAAAAACGTCAAACTTCACCAAGCATTTTTTTTCTAACAAAGCAGTTCTGAAATCGATTATGATTAGAAAAACACAACTATAGTTGCATCAATAAAAATTCATAATATTAATAATTACTATAGAATATTATTTACTTACTAATAACGCTAGTTATTACATATCAAAGTAATGTAAGTAAAAATATACTCTTTAAAGAAGACTTTAAAAATTAGTGGAAGAATTTAAGCTTTTTATCATCGACATTTAAAACATAAAAAAAATAAATAAAGAATTGAATACAACTTTCAATCATGTCTTTTTTGAATAATTTTAGTTTATAATATATGCATATATAAATGAAACATTTTGCTCTTTTGAGCATTTTTCTCTTTTTAATATAATGTTCTTGTGCTATATATTTTATAACAAGAATTATCAGAAAGAAAGAATACCTATTTCAAAGATAATACTTATGTTGACCAAGGTCAATTTCAAGCAATTTTATTCTATGCTTCTTAAAAAAAATTAAAAATTCATATATTTTAGAAATAATTGCAAGAGATGGCGACACTGTATAAAAACTGAGTTTTAGGTTTTGAAATCTTATAATTTTATGTTCATTTTCTGTAGTGTTTTCAATGATTTGCACTTAAATCCTAAAAGCATGATGTTAGCTTAAGCAAAGTAATAATGTAGCAAAAATAACTTATATTATTTTCTTAAAAGAAAAGCATACTGAAGAAGTTTATTCTAAAAAACTGTATTGAAAAGAGAGTTTATAAAAAAACTTATACTGTTTCATAGAAAGTAGATTTTTTTTTTTATCATTTTATCTAAACAAACATTTTATTCGACATTTCTTTTTTCTATTTAAAAAATGATGGAATTGAATGAACCCCCTATTATTAAGTATGAACAAATTCCTATCGAGGAAGATGCTGAAGATAAGGTAAAAATACTTTTATTTTATTGTACTTATTTGTTTCTGAGATAGAGGGGGGACATATGAGGATTATTAAATCCTTATCACAGCTCTTTCACCAAATAAAATAAATAGAAAAAATATCGAAGAACATTATAGAAATAAAGAATAAAAGATGGAAAGGAAAGAGAAATTGAGAGAATAAAAATAGAGTAAAAATCTTGAAGTAAAGGTAAGATTTTAAATGTTACCTTAAATGTTATTAATAATAATAGAGGGTTATTATTTATAATAACTGGCTACAACTAAAAATATTCGCAGTTTATTATCAAGCGTTATTTATTTTTTTTTTTTTAAGAATCACCAATTTGGCGAGATTTTTCTATCTACACTGGTAGGAGATTTTGTAGATTATCTGTAGAATTACTGGACCGATTTTAATGAAATTTGATCTGTACATACAGTGATACAACAGAAGACAAATAACTATTCGCGATCGCAACGAACTATAGGGGGCGTTGTTGTATGAGACGCTTACCTGCGATTTCTATATGAACCGTCATTCTGTTACTCTGGAGACGTCGTTAATGTAGCGTGTAGCATTGCAACGTTCCTTCTTTAATGTGGCTTATTAAATTTAAAAAAGAAAAATGCTTGATCTTCTTTCTTGTACAACCGAAAACAAAATGGTATCTCTTTTTATTAGAGAAGGAATATCCAAAACACATCGGAAAAATATTTGTACATTAACAGAAAAAAATATGTATATTCTTATAAGAGTTAAAACCTAATGCCCGAGAAATAGTATTACTAAATTTAATGATATAACATGAAAGGCCCATTTAAACTTTACATTCTATAGTTTTAAGAATCATATTACTTCAAAAATTAAAATGAACAAAAAGTATACATAAGCCTCATAATTTTATGAAATTTAATTTTGTAAACAAAGTTTTTTGACAACAATTTTTATCAAAAAATTTCAAGTTTCAATAAAAATCATTATTTAGAAACTAAGAAACGTAAAATAAAGAATGCTGACGAAACAAAAAAAAAAAAAAAAAAAAACAATTCTTTTTTGTCGCCATTTTTAGTGCTACGAAAATTCGTCTTTGGGATTTGCCAAAAACAAAACAAGATGCAATTTTATTTTTTCAGGAGGGAAATATTTTACCGAAAAAACGAAAATGTACCAATTCCCACAACATAAAACTTTATCTTGGTAAACGTACGTTTTGGAAATGTTATTTCATTTGGAATCTTATTTATCAGAGTTCATATGGCGATATGATTGTTTTGAATCTATGCTAAACTCTATATCGGCTCATTTTCCACCGAAATCCGATTGACTATTTTGATTTTAAATAAAGTGTTTTATTTTATGAATTGTCGCAAAAATTTTAAGTGTAGATTGGCGGCACTTAAAAACCGCCAAATCTGTAGCGGCGGTGGCGTTAATACGTAAGTACCGAATTTTTATTCCATACTTTTCTGAATCATATTACTTCAAACATTGGAATATACAAGAAGTATACATAAACACATAATGTTATACCATTTAATTTTTCAAAAAAAGTATTTTGAGAACAATTTTTATCAAAAAATTATAAACTAAAAAACGGAAAATAAAGAATTCTTAGGATAAAAAAAACGATTTTAAGAATTCTTAACATTGAAATAAAAACTTTCATATTGTTTCTTTTTTTATTATTCTTATAGTTCTTAATCAGACGTAAAAAACCATTCTGTAGAGAACCATCATCAAATGAAAAAAAAATATTTACAAGCAAATTTTTTATTGTAAAAATCATTGCACTTACCTGATTTATGATTCCCGGAGAATTCCAAAATGATAAGTTCCTTGTTTGAAAACTTTATTCTCAAATAATAGATACATAGTTTATACCTTCATTACTTTTAGATAACATACTACACAGCAAAATTTTATAATTGATATGAATTTGAATATGTAGCTAAAAACAGAATAGCTGAATTCTAGTTGAACTTATTCTTTCAAAACTAAAAAATACTTACCAAGAAAACGATTAAAATTAATTAAGAATCAGCACAAATGGCACTATTTCAAGTAACTTGGATAATTTTTTATTGTTGTTTTCCGAATTATATGGATACAGAAATATATACTATTCTATAACGAAGAAGAATATGCTATAACTATTACAATTCTGTATGTTCTGAATTCATATTTATTCACTGGAATGACGAAAGCAATGTTGACTTCACTTTAATTCGTAATGAATTGAAGACAGAAGAAATGCATTTTACCTTAATACACACATCTGTAACAGTATCCGAAATCGGAAGTCATCAGTTGCAAGTTTGTTGATAATAGAAATTAAAAATTATTGAGGAATTTTTCTTCAAATGTTTGGCGTGTTCTGTTCCTGAAAGATTTACTAATATTCTGGAGATTTTTTTCAAGTTCTTCGGCCTTTTCCTTAGGGAAATTTTGTTTCCTATTTGCTGCTAAAAAATGGCGTCTGATTCAGTCAATGACTTTGATGGAACTAAATGAAAACGTGATAAATTAATGTCCGATATTTACAGTCTCCCGCTAGACGGCGTACTCGAGCGTTGCGATCGCGAATTCCACAATTGTAATACACACGCATGATAGTGCGTAACACTCGTTGGAGTAGGAAGGTATGAAATTGCCACAAGACAATTCAGGCCGATTGCCACAGGAAATGATTATGTCTACCTCTATTAACCCTTGCTTTTTGTTTATTCTGCAACCGCCGTTTCATATCTTCCGACTTCAGCGAGTGTTACGCATGATCATGCGCGTGTATTACAATTGTTGAATAGTTATTTATTTTGTATTGTATCAATGTATATACAGTTAAAATTTCAGTAAAATCGGTCCAGTAGTTCTAGAGACCAAGTCTGCAAATTCTCTTAATTTCTCACTCTAATTTCTTAGTTGCTCTAATTTCTTACTCTAATTTCTTGCACATTCTCTTAATTTCTTAGTGAAGATAAAAATCAATTTTTCTAAATTCTTATAAATCCAGATAATAAAGCGTTGTGGTAACTTCTTAATATTTTTTTTTTAATTTCAAATATAAATGCAGACCCTTTTTATTTTTTAAAAACTCTGCTAGCCTCTCTTCGCATTTATATTTTACGCTCCATTTTCAAAATTTACGTATAGAGGGCATTGGCTTAAAATAGGCTAATAGGTAAAGTTGACCTAACAGTCTTGAATAACAGTTGCAAATTCATAACAGCTATAGAAATGAAATATTATTCGCAAAAAAAAAAAACGCTATTTCTAGTTACGTATGTATTGCGGTAATCGATTTTTCTCCTTTTCCCGAACCAGAGAAGCTACATATTTAATTGCAAAAGCAGTTTATTGTAAGAGCATTGTTTAAAACTATTATTGTTCATTACATAACAAATTGATTTAGGAGGAAATTAAAGAAATAAGAAAAAAAAATTGATTGAAATTCAACTGCTCATCGATATTATTTAATTCATCATCGGATGATTGAAAATAATGATTAATGTTATGTACTTGTACATCTGCAGAGTGACAAGAAACAGTTTGTACACTCATAATACAAACTTTTTATGCTGATTGTTGTTGATGCTGGGTAACAAAAGAGGGGGCAATTTATCCATGAATCTTCACTACTAATTAGGGTGGACTGTATTATCGCCGGTAAGACCTAAAATTAGCTATTTTTCTAAATCTGGTAAATGCTAGCATTGGAATACGACAAAAGAGACCACCATTTATGACAGCTTGTTTATTGCGACTCTGAGTGTTACAAAAACGTTACTGTAGATGGCGCTGGAGTAAGGATACAACACACTCCCCGCGTTGAAATTCAGTACTGCATTTCAAATATATCAGCATTGCAATAATATCAAATATAAGTAATATGCAAAAACAAACAATTGACAAATGACATCACTTTTTAAAAAAATAGGAGCAAAAATATATATACACATAAAATTGACACATAATGAAATGACTTAATCAAACTTCAACTGGTACTGGTAAAATGGTTAGCTTAGTGATACGACGTTTGAAAATACCACGTTTGGTTTTCACACTGCAAACTCTAACACATGTCTTTTCCTGGAAACAATTCGACAACAACTCCCATGAGCCATTGATTAATGGGCAAATTATCGTCTTTTACTATAACTACAGTGCCAATAGAAATGTTATCCTTTTCAAAGAGCCATTTCGATCGCTGTTGTAAATGGCACAAATAATTATTTGACCATTTTTTCCAAATTGCTTGGGTAATTTTTGTAGTCAATTGCCACCTACTTAACCTATTATCTGAAAGATCAATTAATTCTGGTTCAGGAATGCTTTTTATAGATCTTCCTATTAAAAAATGAGCTGGTGTTAAAACATCCAGATCATCAGCATCACTGGAAAGTGACATTAAAGGCCTTGAATTTAAAATACCTTCGATTTGATTAATAATAGTAAGAAATTCATCGTATGTTAAAGTACCTATTGCTCGTTTCAGGCGAAATTTAAATGATTTTACACCACTTTCCCATATTCCACCAAAATTTGGATTTCTAGGATTCTTCCAATTAATTCTCTCAGAAACAAGAAATTTAGATAGAGTCTCATCTGGTTTACTAACTAGATTATACAAACGTTTAATTTCTCTATTTGCTCCTAAGTAGGTTTTGGCATTGTCACTCTATAATATGGAACATTTGCCTCTATGGGCAATGAATCTTTTCAGGGTTGCAATAAAAGAATCAGATGTTAGCTTAGAAACAATTTCAATGTGAATAGCTTTAGTTACAAGACAAAAAAATAGCAATAAATATTTTTTGAAACGGATCTTTACGTTGATTTTTGTTTTTTACGAAAAAAGGTCCTGCGAAATCAGTACCAGAATTTAAGAAAGGAAAAGTTGGTTTACATCGAACACTAGGCAAATCTCCCATTTTTTGAACTAAAAATCTAGGTTTAAACTAAGTGCAAATGACACAAGCATGAACAATTTTTCGAGCCAAATTCCTACCATGTATGTTAATATCGCCCGTCCTAATAATTTCACAAAATGCTTCCGCTCCTATAAGCATGTCTATGTTAGCTGAATTGGTGAAAATATTAGGTTCTGCTAAATGTATGTTTTTAGGTAACTCAAATTTCTTTAATGATAATGGTGCCGTTGGAATTAAATCTTATCTTTTTCACAACTAAGAAATCTACGGTTTTAAAAGAAGTCCCATCCCTGTTAGAAATATCAGCCTGTAATTTCGCTTTTACAACAGTTTTATTATTACATAACGCAGCAATGAGGTTGTTTATTTTTCGCAATGGGACCTCTAATGCATTAGCAAGCGCTTCGGTTAAAACGTTAGAAGTTGAACCACTGCCCAAAATACACCTAGCTTTAATAAGAGCACGAGTTTTGGAACTCCTAATAAATACCTCACATGTTCGCAAAATACCACTTTTATTTGAATAACGAGTATTTTTATTTGTTAGTGATGAAGTTTGAGCATTAAATTCGGCAGCATTAATATTCGGAAACGTATTTTCCAAAGCCCTTGAATTATCAACATTTGAAATAAGAGAATGCAGACGCGACGAATCATTTACATTTTCCTTTTGACGCCTATGAATTAAGGTGTTATGTCTGGGACCACAACTCGAACAAGAATATTTCGATTCACAGTTTCCCATCGAGTGCGACTTCGATAAACAATTATAACTTAATTTATTTTTTGATATGACTTCAGTTCTTTGCTCTACATTAAGCTTCAGAAAATAATCGCACTTAAAAATGGGATGGTTATTTGAACATAAAACACATGGCGATACTTTTTTCTCATTGACTAGAAATGATCTTGACCTTGACTTTTCTGTTTTCACTTTTAGTTTTGCTATTTGAGAAACATTTTGATAACTTTCTAGAATTTGTGCTCCTTTTTCCAAAAATAATAAGAAAGAATCTAATTTTGGAACTTCCTGCGTGCATAAACTTAATTCGTATTGTTATCTAGTTTCTTTGTCAAGTTTTGAAATGATATTATTTAAAGCGAAAATGTCTGATAAATCATTTCGTTTATATTCCAAAACTTGAAGAGCTCTCAGATTTTTCCTTATAGTGTCAATTAGGTGCCTAAGTTCGTTGGCGGATTCATTGTTTATTTTTTCGACATCTAATATTGCTTTTATGTGACTCTCAATAATTAAGCGTTTATTTTCGTATCGATCCTCCAACGCTTTGAATAATGACTGAAATGTATCGTCAAGCGTTTGAAGGTTTTTTGTCTCTCCTATTAGAGAAGAATTTAAGTAATGCAACTTTTGTATATCATTTAACTGCTCATTTGACGTAATAATGTTGTCAAATTGTATTTTAAATAATTGCCACTTCCTGAGAATTTTGGCATGGGTATTTCAGGAAGAGTTATGCTTTGTTTACTTGCAGTTTTTTCTTTTAAATTTTGAGGATTTTGCATTAACGTATTTTCTAAATTTGACTGATTTAGAGCTTTGAAACACATTTTTATGGTGGCTTTTGAGTACAGTAATTTGTCATTGTACTCTTCGCTTGTTGCGATTTCTGGTTCGTGTTCCGTTGCATTTGTTATAAGCTTTTCTATTTCTGAATTTAAGTTTTTTATGTCTAATTCTTTACTATTTAAAATTTCCTGCAACTCCTTTAGTTCCGCTTCATTTGTTTCATAAGTTTGTTTACCTTTACTTTGCATAAACGCGTCCAATCGAGTTATTGCTTTTGAAATACTTGATCGAATTGTGGTACGTTTCTTTTTTAATTTGTTAATTTTTTCCATTGTTAATTGTTTTTAATTTAGAAATTCCTCAATAGTAATAAATTTTAATATGAATAAGTAAAAGATGAATAATTTAAAACAAAACAATACAAATGTATTTGTGATTACCAAAATCTATACAGAATGTTTTAATTGTTAAGATACAACTTTTACTAAATACAATAAATTTGAAAGTTTATTTAGATTATACCTAATTATATACTGTAAAATTATTTACCTGCTGCGTTGAGCGGACCATTATGTTGTTGATGCGGGGTAACAAGTTGGGGGTAATTTATCCATAGGGTGACCAGACGTCCCCGATTTCCGGGGATTGTCCCCGGCGAGGACCTCATACCCCCGGTCGGTTTGCGTCCCCGGTTTTGTCCCCGGTTATAAAATTGAAAAATTTTGTGTAAAATATTTGATAAAAATATGTTATATGTAATTTTTATTTTCTCAAAAATTTTCATACAAATTAATGTAAGCATTGAAAATTAAATGTAAACTAGTTTTTAAGAACACACTATAACTTATACTACAGAAATTTTGGAACACATAACTTTAATATCTAGTTATGTTTACATTTTTACTAGGCTGTACGCCAGACATGTTTACATACGAAAAGAAGTTTAAAACAAGACGTAACATGAATATTAGTTGCTGCTTTTAAAACAATTAATATCTCGAGTTACATAAACTGCCAATATTAGCTAATTTCCACTAAAAACGACAACAATTACTACATTTCAGTTTTATTTTAGAAAAATAACTAAAACATTTTATAATCAGGTAAACGTTTTATAAATATCTAACCAATAAAGTATAAAACCATTTTTTATGAAATTGTTATTATTATCACTTACGACTAATTAATTTTTATAAATTCTAATTATTCTACATTTTGAAAACCTCATAATTTGTTATCGTAATAGATATTTAGAAAAATATTTTTATTTCTTTAAAATAGATGTCAATATGGCAACAGAAACAAAAAAAAAGAAAATGCCATTATTTGGATGATTGGAAAAACGAGTTTCCATATGAGCTTGCTATGTGCTGGCCAAGCAGCAATGCGCATGTAGAACGGGTATTTTCGCGCATAAATAACTATTGGACTAAAGAAAAATCGCGAATGGATTTGAATACAGTGAAAGCGGTTTTATCTGTACTGATTAATTTTGATTTTTCATGTGACATATTTTCTCAATTACTCGAAAAAAATCCTGAAATTTTAAAGAAGATTCATTCTTCAGAAAAATACGGTGTTTAGAAATAGTATAATTTTAAAAGCAATACAATTGTTTTGTTAACAGATTTTAAAATTGTGTAAAAATGTTATGATCACGATTTTAACGATATAATTTATATACTAATTTATAAAAAAATGTAAACGAAAAAAAAAAATATTTTTTAAGATAAATGATCAAATTTTTTTTCCAATTTTTTCTGTCGATAAAACTAGGGGAGGGGGGGGGGAAGAGAGAGATGAGTGTCCCCGGAATTGCCCGAAAAAATCTGGTCACCCTATTTATCCATGAATCTTCACTTCTAATTAGGGTGGACTGTATTATCGCTGGTGAGACCTAAAATTAGTTATTTTTCTAAATCTGGTAAATGCTAGCATTGGAATACGACAAAAGAGAGAGCACCACTACAACCTTATGACAGCTTGTTTATTGTTACTCTGAGTGTTATAAAAACGTTACTGTAGATGGCGCTGGAGTAAAGATACAACACTGATTTAAGTATCAAAACTTAAAAATTAACATGAAAATATTACGTCATTGTCCCAATAAGCTGTCAATCAGTCAGTGGATAGGTGGAGCTACTATTGTATGGTAGATTATACCGGGCAGTAGCAATTGCCCTTAAAAACATCAGTGAATTATCATTGTAGGGAATACCGGGCAATTGTAAACCAAGCAGTGACATTAAAAAAAGCATAATAGCTATATTACCCTCAGCGCTGGGGGAGATTTCCGTATCTTTATCTGCGACAGAATAATCGCCAAGTCTTGGTTACTTCCGATCAGCTGGTCGCGAGAAACTAAAAAAAGAATTAAGAAAAATATCACAGAAAGGGACCAGCTCGAATGGTATAACTCGTAGCCACCCCCCAGAAATTGCAGGTGTAAAATCTATTTGGCACCTTGGCGATTGTAGTTAGCGTGATAGATCACGATACGGAAGTATCCCCTTCAGTCGGTTAGTATAATCAAGTATGAAATATGTTTTTTTTTTGGTTTTTTTTTTAAGTTTAATTAATTGAAACCCTAGAATATAGAAGAGGAATCCAGTGGAAGTTCTGATAATGATACAATATGTATTTATTATGATCGCGTATGAAATATACATTTTTTTAAATGTTTATTTGCAATTTAGGATTTAGAAGAGGAATCGAGTGGAAGTTTTGATGATGATACGATGGAAGAAAGTGGGCCATCGGAAAATTTGTTAACTTCTGCAATGGAGGAAGAGAAAGAACGAGTTGATTCCGCAAAGGAAGAAAATATTTCCCGAATTCTGGATTTTACTTTCATTCCCAGGTTTGTATTTTAAGTTACAACATAGTTAAAATGGGAAATTTCAAAAATAGCGTCATTTGCACGAATAAGTACAAGAAAAACAATTTTTTTTATTGACGAATGCATGAATGAGAACGGTGTTTATATTTTACTGACAAACTGTATTTTTGAAGATATTTTAATTTATAACCACCGCTGAACAGCTGACCCAATTTTTTGGATTTACGAATACTAATATGTTCAACTCCGTAGCCTTGTAACTTAGAAAACAATCCAGAAGACAAGGAAACTCCTGGTTCAAGTACTAGGAAAAATTTGACTTCGTGGAGGACTTTTTGATGGAACTAACCGGCATTTGCTTTACATGGGGAGGGAAACCGCGAAAACCTCCCACGGTAAGCCTGACGCAAACGGACTAACCCATGATCCATCTACCACTGAGGATATTGAACGTCAGCTTTATAGTCGGTGCGAGCCGGATACGGAATTCTTATCGACCAGCCGTCTCTGGGATTAAAACCCGGTTCACCTTATTGGAAGACGAATGCTCTATCCCCTGAGCCATCCCGGCTCTTTTGAAGATATTGGTAAGATGTACTCAGCGTTTACATGAAGATAAAACTATAAGATGCGATAACATGCAGCTAAGCCTGTTGAGTTGCTGCAGTCAATCATGTTATTACAGTCGAATCCTTAATATTTAATTATTTTTATAACTTATATTAATTGAAATTATCTCAATAATCAACGTAACTCAATGATCATAGGCGCGTCTACGTCGTTAAATTAATATTCCTGGATTTATCTGAAACCATGTGTTCATTTTGTTTATATAGCTTTTAAAACGCTTTTATCTTTAAAACTAATAAATTTTAAATTTACGGTAACTGGAATTGAAAAAATGTACTGATAATCCAAATTAATGGATATATTTTACTAGTTTGCAGAGGAGAAACGTGGAACGGCACTGATGATGCTTAATTTTGTTAACAGGTACCAAATGAAATTTTAATAAAAATACGCACTAAACAGAACAATCAACAGAGAAACGGTACAAATTCGATCATGAGAATCATAAACAAAAAAATTCGCAATGCTATTTTTGACGCCAATGATGCCAAATTAATTTTCGTATTAAGTATTAATTAAAATAATAAGCTTTGTATCAAAATGCAAAGTTAATGGAAAAGCGGTACTAATTTGTTTAGGAGGAAAGTAAAAAATTTCCTTGTACCATTTATGACGTCAATGACGGTTAAGTAATTATTCTAATACGTACTAATGAAAATGAAAAAATAAGCTATGTATAAGCTCTGGAATAATATCAGTTATTTAAAAGAGTCTAGACTAAAATAGAATAGAAATTTTTTTCAACTTTTATAATCAGAACATTTTGATTATGAAACTATTACTTCGGATAATTAAAGTCTTTTTGTATATGTTGTGAATGACCAAAATCGGTGGTTTTTGACTTCCACCGGTGAATGTTCACAATCACATAGTCTGTGAATGTCACTTTGGTGAATGTCCGAAGAATATACTAGGTCTAGGTACCCGGTATACCCTACACTGATGTTTTTTTTTTTTTAAGGTTCAGTGTCACTGCCCGGTATGCCCTACATCAATGCTTTTTCAAGGTTAAATGACACTATGCATTAAACCGGTACTCCGAACACTAGTGTTTCTCCTTATCTATCCACAGCAGATATTAAAAATATCGAATAAATGTAATAATATCAACGAATAAATTAATATCAAATCGGATATAACAAAGATTTTGGACATTCACCAAAGCGACTATGCGATTGTTGACATTCATCGGTGAAAGTCGACATTCCCTTCATTTCGCTCATTCACGACAACATATACACTCACGCAATGCCATTTATCAATAGTGTAACTAATAACGGTTAATCCACATGTTTCAAATAGGAAGATCGAAAAGGACGGAGAAAATTATTTACTTCGTCTGTCCAGAAGGCCAGCCAATAGAGATGAAATAATAGAATTGAGTAAAACATTCGATAAAGTTTTGAAAGAACGTAGAGTTAGAATGAAAGGTTTCTGTCCGATTCGAAGAGAACTTTATGACTTTCTCTTCGGTGAGTTTTAAAAAAATATATTTTTTTCCTTTTTGTTGCTCGAAAATTCGACAGTATTTTCAAATCTTTTGAATCCAAACAGAGAATTCTGGAGTTGTGTCTATTTTTTTTACTAATAGAACTATTTTTGTTACTAATATCGTTACTAATAGAAGATGTCAATGTTAAAAGGGTGGCCGATCACTGGTCTAGTGGTTAATGTACTGGACGACGAGACCAGTGTTTTTATTTTATTTTATAATCGTCGTTGAACAGCAGACCCAATTTTCGGATTTACGACTGCTAGTTTTCAACTACGCAGGCTTGTCATTTTGAACCCAATTCAGAAGACACTACTGGATCAAGTATTGGGTGAGATTTGCCTTCGTGGTGGACTCTTTGATGGAGTAAACCCGAATTTGCGCTACATGGAGAGGAAAATCACGAAAGTCTCCCATGGTTAGCCTGAAGGCAAGGGGACTCTAACCCATGATCCGTCAACCACTGAGAATATTTCACGTCAGCACTGAGGTCGGTGCAAGTCGGATGCGGAAGTCGTATCTAACAGCCATCGCTGAGATTCGAACCCGGTTCACTTTATTGGAGGGCGAACGGAATATCCCCTGAGCCATCGCGGTTCTTTAGGTTTCTTGTTGAATGGTAGAATGTAGAAAGCGCATTTGGCTACAAACAGTCGATGATAACATTAAAAAGCGTCTGTTCTGGTGGAATGTTAACAGTTCGGGTGTAAGCAGTTTGACTGAGTTATGAGGATGAATAAATCAAAGCATTTCAGATATCATAATAAATGTGATATGATATATATCATAATAAATCTAATTTTGAGCAAACCCTCTTAACTGTTGACACCAGGATGTCAAAATGTGCAATGTACAGTGCGCAAAATAAAAAACGGACCACCCAGGATCAAGTATTGGAAGAGATTTGCTTCCGTGGAGGACTTTGTGAAGGAACTAATCCGTATTTGCGTTACATGGAGAGGAAGACCACCAGAACCTCCCACTGTTAGCTTGACGGCAAGGGGACTCTAACCAATAACTCGTCTACCACTGAGAATATTTCACGTTTTCACTGTGGTCGGTGCAATTCGAATCCCATCGTGGGCATGGATGTAACTTTCTCTGAGCTCTATGTCCTGTGTGAATGTAACCCGTCTTACAAACGGGTTTGTGGTTGTATGACGTGGGCGACGCTACTCCACCACCATGGTTTAGCCACAGCTACCCACTGGGTAACAAGAGAGTAGCGATTCTGGAATTTCTGAGGCCAATTGGAAATAGACCCAACCATTTAAAAAAATTGTTAAAAGGGGGTATGTATCATTTTTACAAAAATAAGTTCTTTGTTGGTTTTGGATTATCAGTCACCGATTATTAAATACCGAGTCATTTTTTAGACTACCTAAGGAAGACAATATGGAAGAAATTGAAACAATCTTTCCACAATTGACAGTTTTTTTGTTTTTTTTCCTCAAAGTGCATATTTGTAACATACACCCTTTTCACATTGACACGCTTCAATTTCTTTTTTGGTCCACTGTAAGCTCCGCTCATCACTTTTATCCGTTTTGCCCATTAATGTTTTTTTCTTCTTAAAAGTCGGCATTTTTCTCAAAAACAAAGAACTTTTTGCTAATAAAATACAAAATTATTATAATTTTGTGGGAGAATATCTTGTTAATATGTTATCGTATTGGAATGAACGATTATTATATATGAAAAAAAGTCTACTGAACTTTAAAAAAAAATTTCAATCTAATTTAAACTTAGTCATCTTTAAATTAGAAGTCTTTGAAAAATGAAACGAATTAAAAGTAATTTGATCTGCTAATGAGACTTATATCATAAAAGTTGAAATAGGAAATGGTTTTTATCTCATTTGAATTAATTTTATGTATTTTTTAAAATTTAAATATAAATTTTAAGATTCATACATCTCTATTTTCTTTTGTTATTTTAGACGTTAACTCTAGTAGGAGCTTATAAGATAAAGATGTTGAGAGAGTAAAATAAATTTTGTTTTACTTATGAATAAATAGTAATCATTTAAAATAAAAAAAAGTAAGAAGAAATTGTGAAAATACATCATTTAAAATCGCAACTAATTTAATTTAATTAGGCTTTTGAGCCAATAGGGATTTTGAAATAAACTATACTTAAAATGGCAATTTCAGAAGTCAAATTTCAATTCTATAGCTTCAATTTTGCTATCTGCATATAGACTCACACGGTTTATTTTTACTGTAAGTTTAAGTTATTTACTCCTTTTTCACTTTTTACATACGGCTGTAATTTCAAGTTTTTAAATCTGACAGTTCTTGCACAAGAAAACAATATAGGGGAGAGTCGGGTACCCCCGCCCACTGTCAATTTCATGTGTATAGAATATTTTTTCAAGTCAATGGGCCATCGGACATTAATTGTTATATTAAAAAAAGATTATTTTCAAAGTTTCAAGTATTTATGCAGCTGGTAACATGGTAAACAATAGTTTTGAAAATATGTTGAATACAGTAGTCATGAAATTAAGAAAAATTGGTTGAATGTTTCGATTAAACTTCATTTTAATACTAAAAAAATATTTTTTTCTATACATACAGCATTAAAGTATGTAGTCTTAAGTTTAATTTGCACAAAGAAAGAAGTTTGTATGTAAAAAATTGTTCGAGTAATTACAAATTTACAAAAAAATTGGATTTCGGGTAGCCCCGCTCACATGAATGTCGGGTATCACCGCCCAATTTTATTTCGTCGATAAATGTACGGTTGCAAAGATTATTATTTTATTGCTTCAAATTTGAATGTTATATGCATTTTTAACAACAAATATTGTTGTTATTAAATGATTGTTATTAAATGATAGAATTCACTAAAAGTATATAAATATGTAATAAATAAAATAATTTTGTGATAAAAATGATAAATGAGGTTTATCTATTGTCAATACATTGGTCATTTTCATTTACACCTGAAAAAACAGTCAAAAAACATAATTTTTGTAACTGGGCGGGGCTACCCGACACATTTTGAAAAGAGCTGAAAAACATGTTTTTTTAAATTTCTATTTTTTTAAGTTAAACTATTCTTTTTTTGGTTTATTCTTTTTGTATTATTTAATTAGATGATAAAACAATAGAAACATACAAAAATGTTGATTATTACTCAGTATTATACAGAAATATAAGCAATACTCCTTAAGTGAGCGGGGCTACCCGACTCTCCCCTATATCATGAAGATAAGTACCAAAAAGAGTGACGGCGACAGAGGTCTTACGTTTTTTGAAAGAGAGAGAAAATTGTTTCGTTTACGTAATCTGTTTGATTATGAACAAGTATTTTGCTATAAAAAATTATCTCGCGCTGTTAACAACTTGTTTATAACATTTGAAATATGTCACTCTAGATAAATGTTTGAAAAAAGTTTTTTTTTTGTCCTCAACCGAAACGGGTTTGTTAAAATATATACCAAATTATTTACTTTACTCTACGCGATCGAAGTTAATCAAAATCACGTAATTCTGAAAGCAAAGTTCTTATAAACGGAATTTATAACAAGTCACACTTTTGAGTTCAACGTTTAGATCTGTTATTATACGACTAAGATAAAATAAAAATATCAAAAATGCTTCACCTCTTCGAGTGGAGCGTGTAATACATATTTTAAATACATGCGTGAATTTGGATGTCGTACATACTTTAAATACATTCGTGCAATATCAGGATGGATCAAATTAAAAAGTGGGTATGGCTAATTTGGCAGACTTATTTTGTTTTCACATATCTAATCATTGCTAGTCTAAGTTTATAATTTTACTTTGAACTCTTAGTAGTAGTGAGTTAAACAAATCAAACTATTATAATCCAGACTACAAATAAACTACCAAAGAAATAATTAGAGTATCAGTTTTATGTTTTTACTCTTATTTAGAACGCTTCATGTTGACACGTAATCGCGTGAAAAGCTTAATGTATTGAACTTACCTTTCATAGAATGTTATTGTAACATTTTTCAGACTTCCTGTTGCGGCGAATTTCGTTCTTTCGTTGTAGTGGAACTGGGCCTCTGAGGCCATTACGGACCTTTTCCCATTCATCCTGAAATTTGACTAAGAAACATACTTGACAAAAATAAAGTTAGCGTTGCTACGAATTAAATTTTCTCACGGTACTTAAATTAGTTATTTATTTTTGAAGCTTCCATTTATTTGCTTCTGCCCGGCTTCAGAACTGCTTTTATCGTCTCCAATATACCTTTAAACTATATTTAATTATTGCTGTTGTTGTTCATTTACGTCGCACTAGAGCTGCACAATGGGCTATTGGCGAAAACATCCCTGAAGATGATCCGAAGACATGCCATCACAATTTTGATCCTTTGCAGAAAGGATGGCACCCTCGCTTCGGTAGCCCGACGACCTATGCGCGAAGTCGAGCACTTTACGGTAGAACAGTTTAGCAAGGACCAATACCGCACAACCTCGGTCCCTACGCAGACTAATCCAAGTGCTCACCCACCCGCACACTGACCGCAGCCAGTGATGCTTGACTTCGGTGATCTGCTGGGAACCGCGTCTTAGCGATCAGCCCATTGCGGGATATTTAATTATTGTATAAGTAGTAGGTAGGTAGATACTTTATTTACGTCGCACTAGAGCTGCACAATAGGCTATTGAAAACAGTCTGGGAAACATCCCTGAGGATGATCCGAAGACATGCCATCGCAATTTTGATCCTCTGCAGAGGGGATGGCTCCCCTGCTTTGGTAGCCCGACGATCTGAGCTTGAGAGTTTTACTGTAGAACAGTTTAACGAGGACCGATATCGCACACCTTTGGTCTCAACACTGGCTGATCAAAGTGGTCACCCACCCGCTTACTGACAGCCACCAGTGATGCTTGACTTCGGTGTTCTACTGGGAATTGTGTCTTTACGATCAGTCCACGGCGGGACATTGTAAAAGTACTAATTCATTTAAGACGCATTAGAGTTGCACAACGAATGACTATCGACGGTCTTGGAAACATCCCCGAGATTGATCTTAAGACATGCCATCGCAATTTCGATCCTCTGCAAAGGGACCGCACAGCAGCCAGTGATGCTTGACTTAAGTGATCTACTGAAAACCATCTCTTAATGATCAATCTACTGCGGGATAATTATTGTGAAATATACATAAGAAGGCTACAAAGTAAGGCTTATAGACCTTTGTCAAAGTGAAGAAGAGATAGAATAAACAGGGAAATATATTACGATGTTGTATAGGGTGGGACTTGAACCTGCTACAATCGATGTTACAAAACATTTGGTGGAACGATGCCACCCCTTAGCACTTTCTTGTAAGATAAACTGATCAGGGTCATCAAGAAACTAAACTGATGTTTGGATAAACGGACTGATGCTCGTTTTCTATGATCGGGTTTCACATTCAATAATCGTATCATAGTGGTTCGAAATCTTCTCTTATGCCCCAGTGAGTTTCCAAGCCGAAAAAGTTCACGCATGATTAGATTAGGCAGCATGGAGCGAAGACTAAGTGATTAATGTCATCATTTGCCCTCCCAGTAGAACACGGAAGTCAAGCTGTGGTTGTTGTAGTTCATTTACGTCGCACTAGAGCTGCACAATGGGCTATTGGCGACGTTCTGGGAAACATCCCGGAGGATGATACGAAGACATGCCATCCTCTGCAGAGGGGATGGCACCCCTGCTTCGGTAGCCCGACGACCTGCACGCGAAGTCGAACACTTTACGGTAGAACAGTTTAACGAGGACCCATACCGCACACCCTCGGTCCCTACGCAGACTGATCCAAGTGGTCACCCACCCGCACACTGACCGTAGCCAGTGATGCTTGACTTCGGTGATCTGCTGGGAACCGCGTCTTAGCGATCAGTCCACTGCAGGACCGGAAGTCAAGCTTCACTGGCTGCGGTCTGTAAGCGACTAGGTGACCACTTTGATCAGTCTGAGTAGGGACCAAAGATGCGATTTATCCTTGTTCGTTAAACTGCTCAACCGTAAAGTGCTCGACTTAGCGCGTAGGTCGTTAGGCTACTAAAGCAAGGAAGTCTGCAGAGGATCATAATTGCGGTACCATGTCTTTGGATCTTCCTCTGGGAATCTTCCCAAACCATCGCCAATAGCCCAATGTGCAGCTCTATTCCGACGTAAATAAAGTACTTATCATCCTTTGTCCTCGGGTTTAAATTGAGGTAGTGCAGTGTACTCCTGCACCAATGCTGTATTCGGATCATCCTTAAATATGAATTAAAGTTAGTTGCCGACTGCGTCAGTTATCATCAATAGTCAATAAATTATTGTCAGTGGCGTTGAAGTGAGAGGTTAACAACCAAAACAATTTTAAGTGACCTTTTTGACATTCTTTTATTTCTTTAGATGAATTGATCCGTCAGGCAACGCTGAATTGTCCCGAGAGGGGATCTCTTCTATTGCGTGTCCGTGATGAATTCAGGATGACTGTGGCGACATACGAAACGTTGTACGAGAGCGGGATCGCGTTTGGCTGCCGCAAAGCTTTGGAAGCTGAAATAGAAACAAGAGATATTGAAATACAAGTAAGTTAAATTCAAAGATATATTTCTCTTGTGAATAATGACGTCAACATGATGTCGCATACTGAAAGTACAGGTTTTCTTACGAAACTCTTGTTTTTTTTTTTAAAAAAGATGTTCAGTTGGCAAAAAAAGTAACACCCTGAATAACCTGTGATCTAATGATCAGATCTAGGACAGAATCTTAACGATTTGAGAGGATGATCTCGAATTAGCTATTAGTTGGTTCCAGACGATGTTTTAAGTTACTAAATTAGACACAAAACGTACTTTCTCCGATTAAACATACATTTTTTTCAACGGTTTGGGATTTCTGATCTCCGAAATATAGAGGGAAGCCGCAATCTGAGAAATATGGTTCCAATAGTTTGGTCAGGTGAGCGGTCCAAAGTTTGGACCCCTTAAATGTTAATTTTACTATTTGCGTATTCCACCATGTCTCAAGAACATTTTAAGTATTGAAAAATTTTGGAATACACTTATAAAATTTGTGTTCCCAAAAGCAGTTCCTCGCAAAAAATAAATTTCAGTAAATATTTATTATTATTTTACCTAATAATAGTCGAAAAATGTTTGAATTATAAGGTATACATTAAATTTTGCATTATTTTAAAGTATTAAATTTTACATTTCAAAATGAGAAATTTGTGCGAAAACGATTGAATAGTTCCTGATAAATTGAATTTTATAAAAGTCATTTATTTAAAACTTTGTTTCTCACAAAATATTCCACCGATTTCTCTCAAGTTTTGAATCTTACCATGCAAAATGAATTTAAATCTTTTCGACTATTATTCAAATCACGGGTTTCAGAAATGACCTTATTCTTGAACACAGTTGAAGTTGACGTCCAAATGAGGTGCACACGCCATCAAACCCAAAACAATGCCCATTTTGCCAATGGGTAATTAGTTGGCAATGGGTCATCCAATACCAATTTGTAAGTCATTATCAATTTTCTTCTGATGAGTTTGTATTTTGCTGTAGTACAAGCAGCTACAAGAGGAAGTTGCCAGAGCTAAGAAACGAATTCAGGAACTACGTGCTGAAATAAATACTGAAGAGGAACAGTCCAAGCAAAGAATCAACATGCAACAGATACGCCATGAAGAAAAGATGGATTTCCTCAAGAAAGCGAACAAACAGCTTAAGGTATGAGCAAACATTAAAGCACACAAATTAGGTTTTGATTCGGTTGTTAGTCACGCATTGAAGAACACTTCAAATATATTTTTTTTAATTTTATAACCGTCATTGAACAGCTGACTCAATGTTTCGGGTTTACGAATACTAATGTTCAAATAAGCAGCTTTGTTATTTTGAACCCAACCCAGAAGACAAGGATTGGAGGAAATTTGCCTTTGTGGAGGACTTTTTGATTGAACTAACCCGTATTTGCGTTATATGGAGACGAAAGCCACGATATCCTCCCACGGTTAGTCGGACAGCAAGGGGACTCTTACCCATGATCCGCCTACCACTGAGGATATTTTACGTCAGTACTGTGGTCGGTGCAAACTGGATGCGGAATTCGAACCGACCAGCAATAGCTGGGATTCGAACCCGGTTCACCTCAATGGAAGGCGAAAGCTCTATCTCCTGATCCATCATGGCTCATTTAAAAGCTATTGGTGAGGGTTCGGAATTTATACTTAGAAATGTTTTTTAAAGCTCTGTTTTTGTCAGAGAAAATAGAATAAAAACTCAGTTTAAGTGCTTTACCGCAGGGCAAATTTGTAGTTTTAAACTTCATGTACCAACTTACCTTACGGAGTACTGTAAGCTTCAGAATGGATAAAAAACATGGTGACCTGGAGAAAAATAATCAAAACCATTGAATAATTCTTAATTTTTAAACTTTTATTGAACCCAGCTAATTGAAAGCGTTGAGGCAATTATTTAAATATTGAAAAAAATACGTCAAAGATGCTTTTTATTTTGACAGAACTGTGCCTAAATAACAACGATATTTGTTATTTTCAGAATTAGCTAAGAGAGAGAGGGTTAAAGATACTTATTGGCTTAAGAACTATGAATAACTGTTGCGGCGGAAGTTGCATATTATAAGCAAAACAGAGTTATTTAAAGGGGCTCCGAATAAAAGAGTCCTTAACTGATAAAGTTAGAAATTAAGCTATAAATTCCCTCTCCTTCAAAAAATGAGGAAGATTCTAACGTTTTTGATCTATAATTCTTTAAATACTTTGACTGAATATACTCCGTTCATAGAGCTCTGGGTCTAGTTTGCGGATGTGGACAGCTCCAGGCATAAAAGCTTCTGCACTTGATTATGGAAACACTCCGTTCATAGCGTTGTATCGCTTAATAATGATGCGAAAGGGCCGGGATAGCATGATTGGGCGCCCATGTCCAAGAGGGCGTGTGTTTGAACCCCGTCGGCCGAAAACTCCCCGTGTAGTAAATGGGGACTGATTTACGTTAAATTTGTCGAGTCCTCCATTTTCCCATAGCAAATCAAGCTCTGGGGGTACTGATCCAGGAGTTCCTTTGTCTTCTGGATTGGGTTCAAAATGACAAGGCTACGTAGTTGAACATTCAGAGTCGTAAATCCAAAAAATGGGTTGGCTGTTCAATGGCGGTTATAAAATAAAATAAAAATGATGATCCGAAGACAGTACTAGCGCATGCGTGCTGCACATTACCATAATTTATATGTGTGGCTTTGAACTCGCCGGGAACAGTTCCGGATGATGCCGAGTATCTAAGACACAACCGGAGGAAGTGATCGGTCATCAAATTTTTCGTATCGAAAAATCGATTTCCAGGATTCCATATCAAGAACGTCGGTTTGCTGAATTGACTAAAAATACATTTTTTAAATCATTTTCTGCAAGGTTATTAGCCGATAAAAAATAAGTTTAAATGCTTTTTTAAGTTTCACATTTTTGAACCTGTTACAGCGAACCATATGAAGCTGCGTCAGACCTTCTTCCAGCAGTGGACTGATAGTAAAAACACGGCTCCCAGTAGAACACGGAAGCCAAGCGTCACTGACTTGCAGTCAGTGAACGGGTAGGTGACCACTTTGATCAGCTTGTGTAGGGACAGAGGTATCGGTTCTCGTTAAACTGTTCTACGGTACAGTGCTCGATTTCGCGCGTAGGTCGTCAGGCTACTAAAGCAAGGGAGTCATCCCCTCTGAAGAGGATCAAAATTGCGATGGTATCATCCTCAGGGATGTTTCCCAGATCGTTGCCAATAGCCTATAGTGCAGCTCTAGTGCGACGTAAATAAAGTACCTGCATACCAAACAGGCCTTTACGTCACACGAGAGCTGCACCCTGGGCTATTGGCGACGGTCTGAGAAACATCCCTGAGGATGATCCGAAGAAATCCCATCATAATTTTGATCCTCTTCAGAGGGGATGGCACCCGACGACCTACGGGCAAAGTCGAGCACTTTTCGGTTGAACAGTTTAACGCGGACCCATACCGCACACCCTCGGTCCCTAAGCAGACTGATCCAAGTGATCACCCACCCGCAGCCAGTGATGCTTGACTTCGGTGATCTGCTGGGAACCGTGTCTTAACGATCAGTCCACTGCGAGACTTTTTCTTAAAAGAGAATATCAGGTGTTTAACACGGCATACCTCGAATTAAAAAAGCCACGTTATTTATTTTTTTGTGCAGAAATTCTATCCACCCTCTTTAAGAAGATAGCTTTTCTCAAAACTCTGATTTGAGACTCACTCCGTATTTTAGGTATTTATTTAAACTTCTAGACAATACTACCAATTTACATTTGTAGTATCAAACAAACACTACAATTGTGATTATATGAGATAATTTGATCATAAAATAGTTTAACACTTACGATTGTTATTGTTTGTAGGAACAAATTAACTACATTTCTTCATTTGAGAGTTCATGAAATGTTCATTTCTGCTGCGTTGGATTCCAAGTTGTCATTTTTTATAGTTTTTGAAAAATAGACTCATTTTTATTATTAAAATGTACTAATAGTCTTCTTCCTTTGTATTTTTCTTTCACTTTTCTTCCTTTTAGTACTTATAACGTACTTAAGAATTCTCAATAGTTAATACATTGTACAAACAAGAAGAAATTAAGACTCTAAGACATCTCAAACTTACAGTCAAAACAGCATAAAAGCCCAAGCGAGTGGTGTTGATTTTGAGTTCCTGTGTATCAAGGCACGCACCTTCGGATTAGAAAATTAGAGGGATCGATTATTTGTGAGTGTTAGTCTAAAATTGAGGAGTTTAATAACATAGTTTGGATTGTATACCTCCATCATGGCAGGCCAGTAGTGTCTTTCGTAAAAAGATAGGATGTTTCAAGTTACGAAAAAAGGGGGAAACACGGCTGAGCGATTCCTTTTTTCAACAAAAAAAAACAAGCATCCTCTGGAACCACAAGAGTTGAGATTAAATTTTACAACTCTGTATACGAACGGTCCAGGGTGCGTAGCCAAATCTTTCAACAAAAAATAAGCACCATTTAAGTACTTTTTAAGCATTCAAAAATATTTTTAAGCACTTTATACGGACAAATTGCAAAATAATTTTCAAAGACTTTACATGATCATGATAAAATAACCAGTTTCTGACAAACTCTTTTCTGTATTATATTAGCCATTATAAAAAGATCGAGAGGTTTTTCGGGATTCGATGTCAAAGGGTAGGATATGAAGCCTGCAATTGAGAATATCCTTGCAAAATGCAGCACAGTTGTACATGAGAGAGTGCAATAATCTCACCGAACCCAGCTCAGTAGACGCTCGCGCACGTGGACTCGCAAGTATTTCATCGAACGCGTAAAAATGATTGGCGTTTTCATATGCTTATGGACCGACGGGACGTCAAAATAGATTGTGGTTGTATGAATTGTGAAAACGGTGAATAGAACAATGTGAAAAGTTTGCTTTTCACATTGCTAAATTTTTGAAGTGCTTAATTTTCGAAAAGGAAAAATTAAGTAATTTTTAAAAAACACAACTTGAAAAAAGCACCTTTAAGGGCTTTTAAAAACCGAAAATAAGCACCTTTAAGCACTTTTTAAAAGAGCTACTCACCATGCGGCTAAGTTCAGTCTTTCTTTCAGAATTGTTTTCACTTTTTAGACGACTTGAAAATTCTTTTTAAATGTTTTTTAATTTTTATTTTATTATTTACCACAATTTCGCAACACAGATGCCCTTTGTCGTCATTAATATCACAAGGAATAAAAGAGAATTTACCAATTAATACTAGAAGAACTGGGATTCAATGTGAAATAAAAAGTACACATAAATTGGTGAAATTTTTAATCTATCAACAGTGAAACATATTCTGATATCACTCAAACAACAAAATAACATCGAAATGACATTTAAATAAATATCATACACAGCTTGCACATTTGAACCCCTCAAATAAAGTACAATAAATAAAACAAAAGTTTATGTATCACATTGAAAAAATTTATTTCAAATGGCAAGAAATTGTTAATATGCAAAATAAAGAAATAATTAAGTAGATAAGGAAAATAATTTTTACATCTCGTAATAAGTGTACAATACAGTAAAGAAATGAGTGTAAAAATATAAAAGTAAACAAAGTACAAAATAAACAAAGGAAGAAAAAAAACTATTAATGGGATGAGAAGTAAAGATCGAAAACTACAAACAAATCTAAGAGCAACAAAAACGCGAATTAACACAAGTAAAACTTTTAAACTAAGATGAACGAAGGCTAAAGGTCTGGTTTCTTAGGACAAGCGCCTTATCTGGGCGTCAGCGGGACGTCAACGTCACGCTGACGCCAACAAAATACTGGTTTGTTAGCTCAAGGCCTGGTTTCTTAGAACTAACGCCTTATCTGGGCGTCAGCGGAAAGTTGACGTAGATATGACGCAAAAAAAATACTTTTTTGTTAGCTCAGCATGAGCAGTCGGTCCAACGCAGACACTATCTCTCATTGCGCATGCGTTAATAACGTAAACAAATATTTATTTTGAATTTGTATTGATTTTGTTATTGTCGACCAGTGTTTTAGAGAACAAATAATCACTTTGTCCAAGAAAAAACACATTATAGCTGAGCTAAATGAAGAGTGCTATGTTTAATGAAGAAGCTATGTTTAATGTCAAAATCAAAATCTTGGCTGATTTCAATGTGCTGTTGGATGTTGTCCGCCATTGCTTCTGTGGTTAACGTCACGTTGTAATCCAACTGCAGTTGAGTTGGACGGTAATTGTAGTTCAAGATGAGCGTACGATGACGTATACTATCAAACTCACAAATGGACCAATCAGAGGTTAGCGCTGATTTCCAGCTGACGGCGTCCTGTCCTAAGAAACCAGGCCTTTAGAGAGAACAATAAGAAGAAAAAAAATTAAAAGTTAAGAAGGAAAAAAACTAAAATTTACGAGGAAGTAAATAATCTCAAGTGTCAATCGCCAATCTATCTGAAATTTTACATGTTGACGGATAACTATAAATAGATATCTAGGAAATAATAGTATGTGCCAAAAACTATTGGAATTCGGATAAAAAATTGCAAATTATTTAAAAATTCGTATTTTTTCCCCCCAAACGTGACGTCGACAAGAGAGGAAAAATATGGGTTGTACGAAGTTGCTTTAATTTAAAATCGCACTTTAAAAAAACCTGCAACTTTTTAGGTATATCAAAATAAACAAAATAATTTCCAAGCTTAATTTTTCGGCCTTATGTAGATATGCACATAACACTTCATAAGCAAATACAGTCAGACCTCTATTTAATGAAGTCGCTAAATCCCGATAATAAGTTCGTTATATGGAAAATTCGCTAAATAGAAAATTATCTTTTGAAATAATTAAACAACGCAAACCGTGCATTAAATTCATAAGCACTAGACATAATTAAAATAGCAATGGATTTACCTTTTTCTTGTAAACTAGTATCTACTATTTATTTTTAAAATCTTTACCATAAAAGAAATCTGCTTGGAAAGCAAGAAAAGAGCAAAACATAATCCAGTACATGCATTTTCAACTAAAAAAAGCTAATTTTAGGAATAAAATTATAATTGCGTTTATTATAAAAGTAATTTTAAACAAGCATTACCACGTGTGTTCTGAAATTTAATTGCTACTCATAAAATCCGTTCATTTTGTATCAGTTTTTCGTTCTAAATGCAAACAAAACGGGAAAAGGAATTTTACTGCTTTCTCTAAAAGTTAAATGGCTTCGAAAATCAATTAGAGGTCATTTCCCCCCATAAAATGTGTTAACAAGTTTGAAATTATCTGAAATATTTGGGAAAATAGGTAAAGTGGAAAGTTCGTTAAATAGAAAATTCACTTGGATATTTGGAAGTTATTTTACGAAGAAATTTCCAAAATGCTCTTGGTTCCTCGAAAAAAATCGCAAAATGGAAGTTTGTTAAATGGAGGTCCGACTGTATTTCATTTACTATAAATATTGGTACACTAACTGGCTATTGTTTCGAAAGGGAAGATTTGAAAAATACACTTAAAAATTGGAAAACCAGGATGACTTTCTAGATAAATTTATGCAATTCACGTTTTGAATTGCGTGTAGAATTATCTATTTTAGTAAGCAACTGAAATGGTGACTATCCAAATCAAATAATCATTCCTAAATTTTTTACTATAAATCAATTGCGATAAAAATGCGCTTAGTTAAAGATATATTTAAAAACATAAGTTTTTTGTCATATTCTTGAGGAAAGAAAAAGCTATTTAAATTTATAATATATTTATAAGAAAATTATATGATTATCAGACATATTCATGTATGAAAAGATATATGACGTTTTCCTTTTCGCAAAAGTCATACAAAAATACAGGTTCCGGAATTATGAAAAATATTGATTATTAAAAAATTGCGTCAAAAATAATGTAAGCTTTTTATTACCGTCTGAAACAGCCTTATCTGCAAACTATTTTCCAAAAAGCTCGTTCATATTTTTCGCTGGCGTGGAATGATTAATCGAACAAAAAATAGAGCGGCTGTTCAACTACTTTCACACATTAAATTACAATCACTAGAAAACGTCATTTATCTTTTTCAATAAATAAACAGTTACATAGAATGTATCATCCTTTAACAGATAATGTATTATAACCATTAGAGATTCAACTATGAGAAAGTAATGAGAGCAAAAAAATTAAAATTATCTTTTAAAATGTAGTACTGAAGTACTCATGAAATGTGTTCCAAAAATGACCCGTTATTTGAAAACACTGATTCCTCTATTTAAGTTTTAAACTTATGGTTTGTTGAGTTCTGCTAAAGGTACTAAGGACCATTTTCGGCAAGTTAAATATTAATTCATAAAATTCGCTAACTGATGGCGCTTCTGACGGGAAAAACTATAAACAATTTTTTTCTTCGTAATGAAATATATGCAGCGCCATCTGTTATATTTGTATTTAAACAGGGCCATATTGTGTCAGCAAATAGTTACCAGTTAATAGCAAACGGTTATCAAATAGTTCTCAGATACCAGAGACATCTGTTGACGAATTTTGTAGCAAGATTTTCAACTTAGTGGAAGGAGAATAAAAATTCAGATAATCATTTTGATAGCATTATACGATAGAGTTTTTGGATAATATTATAAGCTTGAGAAATTTTGGTAAAAATATAGACATTCGGGATAAATAGAGGTATGGTTTGAGATTGCTTGGATAGTTTGGAGTTCCATATATTTTTAAATCATCCATCCATTAAACCATATTATAGTGTTCTTTATTTTATCTAACTAGCGAACATAACGCTAGCACCCTTACCCGCATGAACCTACTACTAACGCCCTCTGTCGCTAAAGAGATGGTTAAGAGCTAATATTTTTCAGTAGACAATTTTCAGCCCTCATTTTTGCTGCTGTCATTAATATGTATTTTTTTTTTTGTGTGCGCATAAATTAGACATTAAAAATCTTCTCCCTAAAATGTACTTTTTTTAAGCCAATTGCCACAACTGTTATAATTATTTCTTTCTCGATGAATTTTAGTACAAATAATCATTAATAACTAAACTTTTCGACTGTTTTTATCAACCTTTAATTCTTTATAACATTAAGTTGTAACATAAATTCACAAAAAATAACTTAATTACAGTCTTCACTTTGCTTGAAGGGTAGAGTTTGGTTCTTTAAAAAAAGGTACCAGTTTTATTATTCGTTTCCTAATTAAGCACAAAATACAAAGAAAATTTTTTTTTTTTTTTAAAAATGATCTTTAATTTCTATCATTACTTTCTCATAGCATTTCATTTTATTTTCAAATAAACTTTACAAACAACAAAGAGTTATTAGTACTATTCCTTTATAAAGATACATTCTTATTTATTCATATGATAGACGCCAAATACAGATAAGACTTCTAAATTTTATTCTTTTACTTAAACAGTTTACCGTATTTGTTGGAATGAATTATGTTTTAGTAATTATATAGAAAATTCGGGCCATAATATACACTGGTGTAATAAATTAAGAGAATTTGCAAACTGTGTCGATTATCTCTAGAACTACTGGACCGATTTTAATGAAATTTGTTACGTACATACATTGATACATTACAAAACAAATAACCATTCAGCAAATGTAATACACGTGCATGATCGAGCATAACATTCGTTGTAGTCGGAGAGTATGAAATAACCACAGGACAATTCAGGCTAATAGCCACAGGAAATGATAAGTTGCCTTATTTCAAGTATGAAATCGAGCTGCAAGGCCTGTATATCTGTAAGAGGGGACTGTGGCGTAACTACCACTACAAATATTAAATACCAAATCAATAGTATATAAGACATGTTAACTTGCATCCATCACGAGGTACCTCTTGATAGATGAAGGTTGGCATAGTCTAAGATTAAACTCCCCACATTGGTGACCTACGGACGTGATAAGAAATTGTCAATATTGATGGATGAATCCACATTAAACAGTTGATTTGCTTAAAAAAAATATATATATATATATACTGCTCAAAAAAAAAAAAATAAATCCGGTGAAGTAAATAAAGTCTCCCGGTTAATAAAAATGAGCGAAATGCTAGAAAAAAAATAATAATAGCGAAAAGCTATAAAAAAATGATGGGAAAAAATAGCGAAAAGCTATAAAAAAAAAATAACGAGCGAAATGCTTGGAAGAAAAAAATATATATATAATGAGCAAAAATTGAAGTTAATAAATAAACAGCATTAATCAACTAGTGATTATTGTTCATCTAATTCTATCACAGATACAATTCTGGATGGGGAGTAATGTGGCGTAACTACCACTACAAATATTAAATACCAAATCAATAGTATATAAGACATGTTAACTTGAAACCATCACGAGGTACCTTTTGATAGAAGAAGGTTGACATAGTCTAAGATTAAATCCCCACTGGACCATACCCCCTATTAACCCATATTTTTTTTTTTATTCTGCAACCGCTGTTTCGTACCATCCGACTTCAACGAGAGTTTTACCCACGATCATGCTTGTGTACTACAATTATTGAAAGGTTATTTATTTTGTATTGTATCAATCATATCAAATTTCATTAAAATCGATCCAGTAGTTCTAGAGATAACCGATCCAGTCTGAAAATTCTCTTAAATTATTACACCTTGCTAATATAGGCTACCATGATATAGTTATGGGGATAAATCATATCTTGTTAATTATACGGGTAATTTGTATAATGAGTTACCATATAAAGTAGTTTTAGGGATAAAAACGGTAAATAACGGAAGACATTGTCTTTATAAAGGAAAAGTACCCAATTTTGAAAAAAAAAAATGGCGTTGTTTAAAGAAGGGTTCAAATAGCAAATATCCATCAAGTGTTTATCGTGAGATTCCTTGGAAGTTGTAAAGATGTGAATGCACTATGACCACAATGAATAAAAACCATTTACACAACAACTCGTCAAAAGTGCCTCTTGTAAACGGCACTTCTTTCACTTTCACACAGAGAACATGCGACCGAAATCATCAAGAAATATTCATTATACAGTCCATGGTTAAATCATTAGACGCACTGTAAGATTCTATGTAAAGTCTTAATTATCAAGTGATACTATTTATTGCTTTTACACGGCTGAAACCGGTTTCACTTGTGTATCAATTGGTTAACATCATAATGGAATACGTTAAAACATACAAATAATATATATATAAAAAATCTCTTGAATAAAAACCCATTACATGTATGTTTAAACATAAAAGTATTGCATATAAACTCGTGCAATTATTAAAAAACTACAGTGTGTCGAATAATTTGGTCTAATTATTATAATATACTAATATGATACCTGATTTGATAAATGTTCTATATTTATATAATTTATTGTCTAATCTTCGAATTTATATTACCAATTGATACACGAACGTAAACAAGTGCAAACTGGTTTCAATCGCGTAAAAACAATAAATTTGTATAGTGTCACCTAATAATTAAGATTTTACATAGATAGTGCGTCTTATAATTTGACCATGGACTGTATTTTAATCAGCCAGGGACTAAAATGTGCACTATTAAATAGAAACCAAAACTGTATCAAAAATCATTACGTATGTTAATAGATCCAACGAGTATGTTAATAGATAATATGTATGTTAATAGATAGTGTGTTAATAATCATTAAGTATGTTAATAGAGCAATAAAATAACAGAATGAGCCATTTTCTTACTTTGAATAAAACTTATCTGTATGTATAATTAATTAGTTAAAAAAAAGAAAATAAATTTTAAGTAGTAAAAATTAATAATAAAAAATAATAATTTTGAGGCATTAGATTAAATCATGAAAGCTTCTAAAATTTAACAATCACTATGCGCACTGAATTAATAATTATACTTTTATAAGTAAATTAAATTTATTTTTCATTACCTAAATTCATTTTTAAATGGGCAGGGGTGATTGTGAGCCCAAGTCGAAATTCCGGAAAATTTCTTGAGTTTAAAAAAAAAAGTCAGTTTAAATTGAAAAAAATTTAAACAACGTTATTTTTCTCCTTTTTCTCAATATTTCTTAGTTTACTTAAAATATATTTAAAATTTTACACATACCTATGATGACCTGGAGAAGTAATTAAAATTTACTAATATGTCTTTCTTTCTTGAGTTTATGATTATAACAACTATTTACTGATAAAAAAGGAATATTAATCATGAATATAAGCTTATAAAGTATCTCTCTGGCTTTCCCTTACAAACAAATAAAATAAACTGTGTTTTTAAGTTCCACCTTTGAAAATTTGATTTCCGGAAACTTCTGTGATCAATGATTTTTTGAAACATCTGGACCTTCGATCTCCGGAAACTTCCGGATCACTGCTAGCGAAAATTCCGGAAATCTGGATTTTTTCCGGAGCACAATCAGCCCTGAATGGGTATTAAAAATTCCAAAATAAATATTTTTTAGTATATTTGACAAGATATTGTTTATTTCGATTTTACATCGAAATATTTTTTAAAAAAAATTGACAAGGCGTCATTAGAAATGAATTTGAAAGAAATGATTCAACTGCCATTAATGAGAAATCAAATAGCTATTAAAATTGTTACAATAATTTAACTTATTAAATAAGTATTTGAAGAAACTGAATGCAAATTTATTAATGAAAAAATAATTAATTTGGCTAATTAATACACAAATTTATTCTAATTCAATATTTCATAATTTTGTACCTAGTCGTGCGATAATTAATGATTTCTTTCATAGTTGCGACCCAAACTTGGGCCGTGATTAGTGAAACATTTCTTATACTCAGCTGGATGGTTGCGCTTCATTATCATTGTGGTAAATACAGTCAAACCCCGCTATAGTGAACACGGTTTACAGTGAACTCCCGGATATAGTGAATGAAATACTCGCTCCCGTGCCTTGCTACACATGCATGTTTTTTTTTTGTTGATATAGTGAATCAACAAAATAGAGGAAGTTGTATATTATGAACTTTATTCATTTATTTTCATTTTTTTGTAATAATTTTGAACTTTCAACTTCAAAATAAATACATATACTATTTTTAAAACCATCAATAGCACGGAATGTAGCCATAAGCATTTTTTTCTTGTTTGCTTCATTATTGAATTGGATCGGCATTCAAGAAGTCGCAATCTTCCAGTATCTGGACAAATGCTTCAAGTCAAAACCGATGAAATTGCTAAGCGATTGGGTGAGACTACTTTTAAATGCTAGAATGGCTGATTAGACAGGTTTATAAAACGGAATAACATAAATTCAGGAAAAATTATCAGCGAGTCGGGAAGTGTTTCATGTCTAATGCTGAGGATTGCTCATCAGCTAAAAATTATAATTTTTTTCTGCACGCAAGACGAAGAGTAATAAAAAATAAAAGTTAAACACATTTTTTGTTACTACATATTATTTTCCCGTCATTTTTATTTTCATTTTATGGGTCATTGATTTAAATAATGTGAGGAACTATTAGTTAAAATTGTTTCGAAACGGATATAGTGAAGTCCCGGTTATAGTGAACCAAAATTTCAGTCCCGTCAAGGTTCACTATAGCGAAGTTTGACTGTATTTTATTCAGTAATGTATCGTAATTTTGGTTTTGAATGGAGGCAGTGAGGGGGAGGGGTGGCGGAGACCTAACCAAGTTTCCGGGAGTCTATCTTTTGAACTTGAGGGTTCCTCTCGGGTGACAGTTTATATCTCAGTATTGGGCAGAACTGAGTACCAAATCAATCAGTAACTGTTCACCCGATATTGGAACACGACTTAGGAAAATAATTTGTTCTCAATAAATCCTGATGATAACGGTCAAAGGTTCTATTAAAAAGACGCTCAAGAAATTCGAAGATATAACGTAAAAAATAAGTTCATAATCTCAACAAAATCTTATTTAGTTGCACGTGTCACACTTTAGTTTTGGTCAGCCCGTCATAGTTCGTGGAACGCCGACTGTTGCCATTACTAACCACTGCTTTGTTGTCATCGCAGGTGTTCCCCCGCCGGGGCACAGTCCTGTTGTGCGGGGGCGGTGGAGAATCGAATAAGTCCGATTGGTCTTGGTCCGATTTACAACGGGCCAGAGCCCCCTGGTTGGGTCTCGACCCCACCGACATGTCGTCTGATACCCTAAGGACCGGTGGGGTGGGTGAAAGAGTCTCAGAGCCACATGAGGAACTGTCGCTCATTTCATTGGTGGAGCGACGAGTGATGCGGGGGGAGGCGTTGGGTCGCCGACCCAAGATCTGGGTTTGGATATGCTCACAGATACGTTTAAATCGTCGAAAAGGTCCTAAAAAAAGAACAGTATTTAGTCAAGTTAATAGAATATAGTAAGTTAATTTGAATATAGTTAGTCTAATAAATAGAATAGGGTTAGTTAAGTTAATATTTTATCAACTGATAGTCAGGTAAACAAAATACGGTCAGTCAAATTGAAAGAACAAACTTAGTAAAGTTGTTACAATACAGTTAGTAAAGTTGATTGAATGTGGCTAGTCAGGTTAATGAAATATACATTTGATTAACCACATTGCCTAGCTTCCGGCCATCTAAAAGGTTTTTTATTTTCCGAAGGAACTAAAACCTACCCCCTCTGCCCTAAATGCCATCTACACCGGGCTTCCTCTGATCACATCCTGAACTGTCTTCTCTGGGAGGACATTTATTCTACTCCTCTTTTGGTTTTTGATTTTTTTTCAGGTCAACGGGTTCATGGATCTGGTCTGACTTCGTCAGGCCAGAAGAGGATAAGCAACAACCACATGTGTCTACGTTGGATATGCGTTTATGTCATTGAAACGGTCTTGTAAAAGAATAGCATTTAGTCAAGTTAATAAAATATAGTTAGACATGTAATCTTTGGTAAGTTAGTAGAATGCGATTAGTCATGTTGATCAGATATAATTAGTCCTGATAATCGAAAGTAATTAATCAAGGTAAAAGAATACTGTTAGTCAAATTATTTTATTAACTAATGGTGAAGTGGATAGAATACGATCAGTTAAGTCAATACGTTTAGTCAAGTTGATTGATTGATTGAATGTAGGGTTTAATGGCACAAAGTCCAAAGAAGGACATGCTGCGCCAAACAAACGGTTTTAAAATGAGGTAAATGTATAATACAAATTTTCTTCATTAAAAGTCACACGGAATTTATAAAACTAGGTACAACGTGACAGAGGTATTCAAAAGTGAGTAAAAGTAGATAAAAAGGATAAAACATTTATATACAGTATAAAAGACCAATCGCGCGTAGAAACGCAAAAATGTTAGGATGATGAGAGTCACCTAACAAATCCTGCCGAGTTAAAATAGAACTACCAAAAAAGGTTAGACGATGACGGTTAAAACATGGGCAGATGATTAAAATATGATGAATAGTTAGTAAAGCTTTACAGGTGTTGCATTGGGGTGGAGGTTCCCCAAATAACAAATGTAAGTGTGTCAGCCGAGTGTGGCCGATTTAATTTTACATCTGCATGCCGCAGACTCAATACAGGATAAGGGTTAAAATCTGTTTTTATTGAGGGAAACTTGTTATAAATTTTTAGATCCCATTGTTGTTGCCAAACAGATGTGATGAACTGTCGAATATAAGTTTTTGTATCCGAGAAAGGTATAGATAGAGTTAAAACAGATCGTGCAGCCGAATCAGCCAAGTCGTTCCCTGGAATACCGACGTGACTCGGTATCCAACAGAATAAAATACGAAATCTATTTTTGTGAAGGGTTATCAACAAGTGATTAATAAAGCATAAAATCGGGTGAGTGTCACTGTTAAAATTTTCCAACTGCCTCAAAACACTCATACTGTCGGAGTATATGCAATATTTCCTTGTAGAGTGAGTGGAAATCAGTCGCAGTGCCAAGAGGATGGCAGCAGCTTCAGCGGTAAAGATGGAGCAAATACTTGGGATTCTGTAGCTATAGGTATCATCAGCTATAATGACGCCACAGCCCACATATCCCGCAGATTTTGATCCGTCAGTAAACACAGGTACATACTCTGAATATTGGTGACGATGAGAAATAAATAGTTGCTGGAAGATAATGGGTGCAACATTAGATTTATTATACATCATAAAAGGGGAATAAAATTGATATGGTATAATGTTCCATGGAGGTATGAGAAGATGATCCACTGATTGCGATGGTGATTTGCAAATGTCAAAAGTTTGAATGAGTAAACGCATGCGAGCATGAAATGGACGGACGTGAGAAGATCTAGCTGCATATAATCTCTCCAAGCTTGATGAAATTACATAATGCTTTAGTGGATGATATCTAGAGGACATGATACGAAAATAATAACTGAGAGATAGCTTCATGCGACGTAGATCTAATGGTATTTGATTGCAGACAACGTATAAACTTTCAACAGGGGATGTACGAAAAGCTCCCGAACAAATGCGAAGAGCTGAATGGTGTACAGTATCTAAGATACGTAGATTGGAGGTGGTTGCAGAGCCATAAACTGCACATGCATAGTCAATTCGCGATAGTATGAGTGCTTGATATATGCGTAGCAGGGCTAAGCGATCCGCTCCCCAAAATGTATTAGACAGTACACGCAACATATTCAGTTTCCGTTCGCATTGTTTTCGTAACTGTCTTATATGAGGTATGAAAGTTAGCTTATTGTCGAAAATGACACCTAAAAACTTCGCGTGTGGTACAACTGGTATACGAATGTTTCGAATGGAGATGTCAGGGTCATTATGAAGAGCGCGTTTACGGCAGAAATGGATACAGCAACTTTTAGATGGTGAAAGAGTGTGACCATTCTGATCACACCAGTCTAAGATCTTGTTCACAGCTAATTGCAGTTGTCGCTCGATGACTCTCATGTCGGATCCTGAACACGAGATGTGCAGATCATCGACATAGCGAGAGACAGTAGGGGGCAAGAAGTTTAAAACTGGTGAAATATGCAGGATGAATAATGTGACACTTAAAACGCTGCCTTGTGGAACGCCTTCCGTTTAGTCAAGTTGATGGAATACATTTAGTTAAGTTGATAGAATATTAATATAATCAAAATATGTTCTAGAACACCACGTTCAAGAAATTGAGTGCAAATGTACACTTTCCAAAAATCTTTTCGTGAATGTGGTGTAAAACAACGTAAGAAATAAAAAAGTGGTCTACAACATCGTGTGGACGTGAAATGTGTTCTAGAACAATATGTTCAAGACACTACACATGTTTTATCCACTGGTTTATAGCCAAAAACAATTTTTATAGTATGAGAGATCGCCAAAAAAAGCAACTATCCTTACCAGATATGAGAGTAAAGATGACACAGTAAACGGACTGTGGATTCCTTTGGGTCAAGTCTTGAGGACCCGTGGCCGGAGAGATTTCAGCATGGAAGCGAACATTTCTCTGGAACATGCTTGTCCCTCCAGGTCTCCGGTACTCCACTCGGAATGTGATGGGGGTCAGCACACTGTGACTCAGGTCAGAAATCTATTTGACACCAAAAATTGAACATTACGAAAGTTCGTAAACATAAAATTTTTTGATCATATAAAGGTGTTAACAAATGCTCAAAACATTTTTTAATCCTATTAGTACAAAAGATGTTCGCAAATATAAATATTTCAAATCCAATGAGTGCAGAAGGGTGTTTAGAATATAAACGTTTTTAATCAAACATTTCAAAAAACGTTTAACACCCTGAATGACTTTTGGTCTGATCAGATTTTCACATAAAAAGACTTAATATCAATGATTCGAGGAGCGTACTGAAAAGTAAAACTTTTTTAAGTTACGGTGATGCCACAATAGCCATTACATATTTCAAATCTCTTAAATTTTTTTAAATTTCTTAACTTATTTTTTTAATCATTCTTAATCGAATTTTAATTAAATTAAATCAATTTTAAAATTTTTATTATATTTTATAAAAAGTGAATATGAAATATTTTATTCTTTTCTTAACAATCAATATAACAGCTAACTCTTCATTTCAATTCATTCACCGTCGCAACTAAATCAAACTCAAAAATCTATTTATCACTCTTTATTCTTTATTTCTTACTACAAAAATGTTTCAGTTACATGGTTAAATTAATTCTCATAGTCTTTTTAACCATTCGATTTCACTAAATTGTTTTTTAAATTTAATATTGATTGGTTGTCATTGTTTTTGACTATTTTATCTTTCGATAAATCGCCAAAAATGGATCTCTTCCCAAGCTCCTTACTGGCTGTTGGGAACAATTCAATCACTTATTAATTTAGCTTTTGATTAGGCTGGTCATGGGGAATTGTTCTCCCATGGTCTGTCCTGACTGATATTAATCAGGGGTCTGTTTAGAAGAAATTTGGGTCTGTTAACGGACCCTTCACAAAATATCTCTTCATGAAAACGGACCCTTCACAAAATGATTTTTCTTTTGATCGGACCCTTCACAAATTTGTTTATCTACATTATTGTTTTGCCAATCGAATAAACCCTTCCCGAGTGGGAGAAGAAAGACGGTTCGAGACAAACTAAGTTTCCCTAAGTTTAAATTCCAAATGTAGTATTCTAATAAAATGTTTCTACTTTTACAAACATCTTGTGCGCATTCTTAATAATATTAAATCATATTTTTTTTGTAAATAAATTGATCAATTTATATTTATTCATAAAATTATTTAAAAGAATATTATGTAAATAAAAATTAATTTCTGGCAATTTTTAAAATAAAATATAAATTTAAGAATTGTTTAAGTTTACTTAATGCGTAACACATTAAAAGTGATACATTACTAAGTTGTGTTATTTAAAATATGTCAATTGAGATTATTAAAAATGTGAGGGACTTTGTTTCCATTAATCGTCCGAAATGAATATTCTGCTTTGAGCAGTATAGGCAATATACCAAATATTTGTATGTTGCATCTGTAATTTAGTAGTAGCAATCGTTGAGCAGAATCTTGTATCTATTTACAATTCAAAAACTTCTTGAAAAGGTTTTCAGCAATTTTTGTAATAACAGGACACTATTTGCACAAATTCACAAAGCAGGACCCTGGTTGAAAGAATGTGACTTAACGCTTATTTTATATTCACAAATTACGGATAGTTTTTTCGCAATTTTATAAAAAACAGGACGTTTCACAAAATGTCTGGACAGATCCCTGTTAATATACAAAATTTATTATTTCACATAAAAAGTCTTTAGTATAAAATATTCTTTAATTTTGTATCTCGAGCTTTACAACTGTTACTGAATAAAAGTTTTATTATTATCCTGATTTCATCTTTCTTTTATACCATAAAGCTACAACTGCAACAAATTCCGTCATTCTAGTTACGAAATCAGACACAAAAATGTACCTTTTCTGAATAAACACGTCATTTTTTCGGATTTTTGGTCTCTTTTCATCCGGAAGTGCATTAAACGCCCTATCAAGCAGTTTCTCAAGGCGGCACCCTGAAATTTGACGGGGATTTCTCCTCTTTTATGTGCAGCAGGAATCAATCCCAAAGTCATAAAAATAGGGTAGTTTCTGAAGAACATTTTGTGGTATTTGGGGATCAGAGTGAACATTACTTTTCCTTGCGTAGTTGGTAACGCAGCTATTACCAAAAATGTAAACTTGTTTTTCTATTGCATTAAAATAACGCGTTAAAATAAAGATATTTTATTAAAAGATTGTATTCTTTTTAACACATCAACGGTGTAGAAAGTTCGAAATTTCTGAAGAAAAAAAAAGTACATTTTTTGCAAGAGGAATTGTTAACTAACTAGAAAAGGGTATTCCAGAAACTGAAAGAATAAAGGATATAAACAAAACTATACTTGAATTTATCACATAAGTATTTATTTATTTTATTTATCAATCTGTTTAAAAGACAATAAATAAATAAAATTAGCAAACTGTTTTTTTCTGTAAGTAAAGGCATTCCTTTCATCACATGGTGATTTTGCTTAGCGTAAAATACAGTCAAACCCCGCAATAGTGAACATTATTCATAGTGAACTCCCGGATATAGTGAACGAAATGTTCGCTCCTTCGGAGAGTCGGGAAGTGTTACCCCTATCTGATGTAGAGGATTGCGCATTAGCTAAGAATTACTAATTTTTTTTTTTGTACGCAAGGCGACGAGCAATAAAAAATAAAACATTTTTGTTACTACGCATTATTTTTCAACCATTTTTGTGTTACCATTTTATCAGTCATTTATTTAAATAATGTCCCGGTTATAGTAAAACGGTCCCCTTGAAGGTCCCATTTCATAATTTGGACATGCCTATATTTGTTACAGAAATATCTCAGCACAACTTAAAACACTGGAAAAGCTAACTTAAGATATTAATAAGTTTAAAATACTTATTTGTAATTTTTTTTCGTATTAAAACAAGAGTACGGTTTCGAACTTGACGTTTTTAGTCATGCATCAAACTACTGTCTTGCTTTTTATAAAACTCTTTTCAACTATCTCAACTGTATTATAATTTATCGATTGCTGTAGTTTGTTGAGAATATTATCAAATAACCGTTTAATCCAGTTTCTGTATTTTTATTTGTAAACATCTAGATAATTTTAGTTTTTTATTTTATTTATTATTTTTGTTACATTGTCTAAACTTACATCGTGAATGTCTAAAATCGGCTCTTTTGGTTGGAGAAAATATTTTTAAGAATAGTTATTGAAAACTATAGAAATAATTCATGTTAATTCCTACCACTAGAAAGAATCATAAGTTTAATCTAATTTTTTTTACGATGAATTACACTTATAAATGACTCTAGTTAGAACTTAAGCTTCGATCTGTAGTTGCTCCCACCGTTTGAGGACTGCCCAATAACTAGTCATTTTTTATAACATCGTTTTGTCTCCTCATATTTTAGAGAATTTCGAACAAACAAATGCGTGTTGATTGCGCTCTTTTTTAAGCATTAATGTGCGTAAAGTTCATACTTATACTAAATTGATGTTGTCCACATTTTTTTTTCAATTCATTTTGTACCGCAACTGGTGCCGTTTTCGAGCTGGAAAGGCGACTTTTAAATAAAATCCACTGTAAGTGCAGTAGTCCATTCTCAACCAATTTATTATACCTAGACATAACTTTTAGAATTAAAGCTTCAACCGTTGGACAGAGAGGATGATTATGAGCTTCGGTGAGTAAAATAATACAGCATTTATAAATATGCAACAACGTTTTCTAAAATATACTATCGTTTAGAGTTAGAAAGCTAACTCCGCAGTTTTCAAAGAGATGAGCTGAAAACGGTTCAATCTTAGCCTAGACGCAATTTTTATAATTTCAGCTGACGCCGCTGGAAAGTTAAGAGGATGGACTTCTTGAAAATATTCTTAAATTTATAAACATATAGTTTTTTTTAATGATAAAAAAGGTTTTGTAACATAATTTTATACATAAGACAAAGGTATAAAATGGCAGAAAAAAAATTAGCAAAAAATGATGAAAAAAAAACAAGATTACTCAATGATATGAATTTGATTACTTACTGATAAAAAGGCATGAATTAGATCTCCCTTGACTGTATTGAGGGGTCGATCTTTGACTAGAATGACATAGGTTTCATCACGTTCCGTAGTCATTAAACTACCAAACCATGACCTTTTAGTTAGCCTATCAGAAAACAAGCATAGATCAGCAAAACTTCTACACTCTACAAATATTCACTGTAGTTTTTTTTTATTTTATAGAAGGCAGAAACTGCTTTTTTAAAAATTTAGGTAATTGCTTTTTTTTAAACCATTTTAAAATTTAGCCTAGATCTTAATAATATTAATAAGATAAAATTTCCCCAATGTATAAATACCAATTAATACATCTCTGAGTAAAATGAATTAATTAGCATAAAAATAAGCGACTTAATCTTTTGTTTCTAATTTTATTGTTTTAGAAAATTGTAACCCAATCCTTAACATCAGTACCTCATCAAATCCTAAATTTAAAATACACCAAAAAGTTATTCAAGAGGATTTTTGTTGTTTTGACTTGCCGTCTATTTATCTTTTTTTGAGATTACATATCTCAAACAATAAATAACGACACTTAAATTAAAGAAAATAAAGGAGCAAAAAAAACTATCTGTCACATCATTTAAGCCAAATAAATCAATAACAATTCTCATGATGATTTATTTGGAGATTTCATGGTGATTTATTATTTTTATCACAGGAAATCCGACTTAATTTTCTATGAAGTAGAAAAGTATTACATGCTAAAAAAGAATCCGTAAAATTTCGACTATGTACACTTCATCTCTACTTTTTTACGGTGAGTCGCAAAAATTACCATACACTTACACTATATAGTATACTAGGTCTTAATGTCTGATTCAATTTCTGGTTTATTTATATATTTCTTAACGATTTATGTTTTGCACTGAAATTCTTAAGTTTGGATTGAGATCATAAAATGTTCGTCTTTCAAATGAAATAAAAAATTTAAATAAAATACCTACAAAATCCTAATTAATGTTTTTAAGACGATTTAATTGAAATGAGAAATTAAATGAAACAAAATTAATCACTTCAAATTTTAGTTATCATCGAGTAACTATTTTGATTATTTGGAAAAGAACTAGTTACAGAACCATATTAATAATTAACTTATTAACTATAAAACATTTTCTAATAACATTTAGATCTTAAATGATGTACACTGGCTTTAAAACCCTTTAATACGCAGCAGTTACAGAACATATACCAACTTCTTAGCGCATTAATTAACGCACCAGTTTTGAGAAAAAAATGAAATAAATATTTTAAATATAATTGCAACATACATTAATTAAATTATTATATTCAATGAAGTTGCTCTATATATTCAATATAGCATGCATATTATGATATAAAGAAATATCATAAATTGAAAGAAAAATTTCAGAGTATAATGTGTTTTTAAAATCATTCAGATGATATATATTGATTACTAATATAATGAAATTGATATGTTGATTAATATGTAATATTCATACTCAGGCGATGATTCAGGGGTCAACCCAACTTCATCAGCTAAAAAGGAAAAACAAATTATTAAAATAAAATAGAATATAGACACAACATATGCATTTTATTTAATATATTCTATAACCATCGTTGAAAAGTCAATCCAATTTTTGGGTTTTCGACTATTAATGGCAACTAGGCAACCTCGTAATTTTGAATCTAGTCCAGAAGACAAAGGAACTCCTATATCAAGTATTGGGAGAAATTTGCCTTCGTGGAGGACTTACTGATGGAACTAACCCGAATTTGTATTACATGGAGAGGAAGACAACGAAAGCCTCCCACGGTTAGGCCGACGGCAAGTTACCCTAACCCATAATTCGTCTAGCACTGAGAATATTTCCCGTCAGCTGTGTGGTAGGTGCAAGCCGGATGCTGAATTTGTATCGACCAGCTATCGTTGGGATTCGAACTATGAAGGCGAGATTCTGGGAAGGCAAAAGCTCTATACCCTGAACCATCATGGTGCTAACATACGCATTTTTTTAATAACCGTTGATAGAAAATGTATTTCGAGTTTCGGGTATGCGTACTGCCGAGATATACGCAATATATTTCTACCATTATGCGCACTGGTTAGAATCAAACGGTCAATATGTGCTTTATATATTTATTGACAAGCCGACCGGCCTGTGTAGGGTGCAGGGAACTGTCCTTGCATCAGAAAGGTTCTGGGTTCGAATCCCGGGCAAGGCATGGATGTTTCTTTCTCTCTATCTGTGTTCTATGTCCTTTCTCTTTTGTGTGTGAATGTGACCCACCCTATAAACGGGTTGTGGTATTGTGACGTGGGCAACGCTGCTCCACCGCCGTGGCTTCACCACAGGTGTCCACTGGGTAATGAAAAGAGAGCAGTTTTGGCACTTTCTGTGGCCAATGGACAATAGTTCGAAGTGCCCGCCATTAAAAAAAATATTTATTGACAAAACATAATAATAAACATTAACATTAGACTGAAAACGAAAACAACTAAACAAAAAATTATTTTGATTGGCGACGGATTGGAACCGCCGAAAAGAAATAATTCGTAAAAATTATTAATAATTCATGGCGTTCCCATGGTTCATCAAAATTGTTAAAAATACAATATACCATAAAAAAATAGTTCGATTAAAGATAATTTTCAATTACAATATTTCAAATTGCAAATAAATTCTATTAAATTTAGACTATAATATTCATAAATTTTGAAACATCAACATTCAAATTTTAGATCTTAATTCAAAAATACAACTAAACAAATCTTAATTTTATACTTTAATTGTAAACATATAACTATTACAAAAAAAATTAAAATTTTTAGGTAATATTTCCGCAAAAAAAACTCTGGAGAACAATATTAAACATTCAAGATAATTAAACACTTATAAAACACTTTTTTCATATACAAATACGAGAATAAGAATAGATATAAGAATAATAAAGTAATCAAATATATAAATTTCACTGCATATTCAGTTCAGAAATATAACCAGTAAAATTCAATGTAAGTTATCAAGAAAAATATTGTTTTTAGCTCCAATCTGGGTAGAGTTAATTTCTTAAGGGGTGCCACTCTGGACTTAGAAATTACAAAACTAGTACTAAAAGTATTTCCAGATGTTTTGTACCTGAAGTATGCTACAGCTCCAAAAGACTTTAATGAAGCATCGGAAAACACGTGTAGTTGCATGTCTTTGTTTACTAAATTTAAATCGGAATATTCAAGTTCTGAAGTTCATTAACTTCATTGCACCATATTATCCATTTGTATTTTAATTCACCACTAAACTCATTGTCCCAATCAATTCCAAGTTACCATAATTCTTGTAAAATGCATTTAACACGAATCAAAATAGGGGAAGTAAATCCAGACGAGAATATCACTTTCATTGTTCCATTTAAGTCCTAAAACGTTTAAATGAGAATCAGGATCTTCATTAATTTCTATTTCGGAATTAGAGTTTTTCCATAAATTTTTAAGTTCTTTTGAGTTTGTGTCAAATTTTCTCATTGTCATATCTGCATCCTTTAAAATAAAAACAGCATCTGTTGAGAACTGAAAGGCTTCTTCTACAGAAGAACTTCAATAAAAGAGGTCATCAACATACAGGAAATTATTCAGCATTTCATATGCAAGAGGATGCGCATTTTTATAAGCTTTAATATGAGTTTTGATAGTTGCTGCCAAAACAAAAGGTGAACAGGTGACTCCAAAACAGTGTCTATTAAAATAAAACATTGTAGGGAGTTGAGTTTTATCGCAATTTTTATAATAGTCAAAACATAAATAATTTCTATCAAATTCCGATATTTGTAAAAACGCTCGAGCAATATCTCCGCAAAATCCGATTTCATGTTCCCGAAATTTTAAAATTATATCTACAAGATAAGCATTTAAATTATCGCCGGAAATAAGACATTCGTTAAGATTGAATTCCGCGTTTATTAAATTATTTCCGCGTTTACTACTGGCATCATAAACTATTATTGTTTCTGTACTGGAAGAATTTTCTTTAAAAACATCCCTATGCGGCATTGTATAGCCCACAAAACAATTAGAATTACAAGTTTTGATAATCCCTTCTTTTAATTGTTCTTTCATAACCTCATTGTATCTTTCAATTAAAGATTCGTCAGCGTTAAATCTCCTTTCTAGTAAACGAAATCTTTTTTTCGCGATCTCAAAATTATCGCATAAATTTTCACGAGCAATCTCAGATTTCCACAAAAGCGGTGCCTCATATCTTCCATTTTCAAACCGCAACTTGTTTTCAAAATTAATAAGAAATAAAATGAACTCGGATCATCTTAACTCTCGAGTAGTGAGAAATGATTCAATATTCCATAAACATGACAAATCATTTGCAACTAAATCAGCTAAAGTGCAACAAATGTTAAAACAAGAAGCAGCACCCTTAAACGGACCATCTGGCATCTGTCCTACCAAAGAATCTCCAAACAACGTCGGCTGAAGGAATAATTTATTGCCTATTTTCAATAACTCACCCTTTTAAGCGGAATATAAGAAATCAGCGAATCAAATATAAGAAATCAATATAGGAAATCAGCACCTAACAATATTTGAATGAGTTTCTTATCATCCCATGAATCACCGATTTTAAATCCTTGAGAAAGTAAAGTTTCTATTAATTGGGGATCAAATTCTGAATATAATTGAGCAGCGCAAATTTCCTCGGTAATTAATACTTCAATATTTATACTTGAGTAGGGGGGAAAACTGCTGCATAATGTGATATTAACACATTCATATTCCTTTTCCTTAGGATTTCGATTTGAAAATGTGTAAACAAAAAGTTTTTCTTTTCTTAAACTTTTCGCGTTTAATGCTTTAGCCAAATCCTTTCAAATAAAAGATTTTTGAGAAGCAGAATCATCAAGTATTCAAGCTATTAATTTTTTAGATCCATTTTCGACATGAACTCTAGCAGTTTGCAATAAAGTAGTATTATTTAATGATTGATTAGGTTTAAAAACAGAAGACATTACCGCGTGATTCTCTTGAATTTGATTAGTTTCGGTTTTATCTGGGGGAGAAGTTTGTAATAAATTGTTACCTTTTAACTTTGGGCAAAACAATAAATTATGTTGAAAACTTTGACATATTTCACAAGGTTTGATTTTAACTTTACACTGATTTAGCGAATGGTTTTTATAAAATCATTTGTAGCAGCGTTCTTCCTTTTTTAATTTAAAACGTTTCTGTTCATCAGTAAAGGTTTTGCATTTTAACCCTGTATGCGAGTATGAGTTACAAAAAATGCAAGAATTTTTAACAATTGTATTTAAAGCGGCTGATGTAGGAATATTTTTGTTTTTAGGATATCTAGTTTCGTTTTTTGATTTAGCTGGTTCGTGAGTTTTCATAGAAATTGCAGAAACTGCATTAGCTGCTTCTCGAGATTCAATTTCAAATTTTATGAATTTCATTAATTCACTGATATCGCTCGATTTATTATGATCTCTTTTACGATGATATTCTATTATTAAGTTATGAGGCAATTGTTTGAATAAAATCGGAATTAATAAATGACCTAATTTATCTGATGCTACACCCATAGATTGTAAAGTTCTTATACTGATTTCACTTTCATCATACAAATGCCTAAGCCCCTGAATATTTGAAAAATATTTAACTAGTTCGATTTCCAAGAGTTTATTTACAAAACAATTAATTAAATGTTCCGATTTTCCATATCTATCATTTAGTAAGGTTAAACACGATTTATAATTTTCTTCTGTTAAATCAAAACCTGCTACTGCTTTATAAGCATCCCCAGAAAGAAAAGATTTTAAATAAATAATTTATTAACATTAATTAATGATTCATTAGAATCTATAGCACTACTGAAACTATTAAAAAATTCGAAAAATGTAGTTGAATCACCATTAAAAGTTGGGATGTTAAGTTAAGGCAAATTAATAGAAACCGGAATATTTTTACTATCATTAACACTCGAAACATTAACATTTGGAACATTAACAATATTAGTGGAAACTGACTCTTTTATTTTAAACTTCGTTAAAAACATTTTAATTTTCATTTTGGAGTCACCTATGTTTTCATCACATTCCATTGAGTTTTTAATTTCTGTTTCAAAAACAGCATTATCCGTGATTAGTTCCTCAATTGATTCATTAAGGTGTTTTAGCTCAGTTCGTGTTTCTTCGAGATCAAGTAAATATTCTGATAATTGTTTAATATCATTGTTTAATATCATTGATAATTGTTTAATAAATATATTGATAACAGTTTGCTAGAAAGAAAAAAAAGTAATTGGGAAATTGATTTTTACCATTTTTTCCAACATTTTATGTTAATACATTAAAAAGAAACCAAAATAACCTTTTATCTGAAAAAGAAAAAAAATCTGTTTTTTTTTTTGGTCATTAAGATGTTTCTAAACTCAACTGTTATCGATAAAAAAAAATACAAATTCTTTAACTTAATTATAAAATACACATTAGGGTGCCAGTTCTACGAAATTTAATGATAAGGTTTTAGATAAATATGTTCTAATTAAAGATTTTTCTTTTCCTTAACTGACAATTATAGAACTGGCCTATAAACAACGATTTTATTTTCCATTTAACTAATGATAAAAGCATAAGTGTGCCGATAACTTGAAGAAAAAACGATAATTAAATATTTTAACTCATATACTGAATTTTTTTTTCGTATCTGTTTTTATTACGTCTAACTAATAGATTAAGCAGTTTTAAAATAGAAAATTATTCTGAGTTATTGTTTTAAAATAATGAACACCTCTTTTATTATCGCGTGGGTGTTTTTTCGAATATTAAAAATAATGAGAATAATCCTTTGTGATAAAATAAAAAAGTGTCTAAAATAGACGTTTTAAATTAGAAATGGTATTTATTTAGAACCTTAACGCCTCATGTGTCAAATAAGAAGAGGGCGCAAAATGAAAAAGATCTGATCCCTTCTCTAATGATCGTATTTTCACAAACTTGAGTACCAAATTCTTAATGTTTTGAAGGCGTAATTTTAAGTATACCTAAACCAATATATATAATTAATATTGCCGATAATATTTTGAGTTACGAAATAAGGCGCGAAAACGTAATTTCTCTGAAATAAACATGCTTTTTAGAAATGTTAATAAATCGATTTCTCAAGAACTATTTGACCGATTCTTTAGATTTCGTATTCTGTCATTTAAAATTACATAGTTTAAAATGATGCAAAAATTTATATATATTATAATTCAAATTTTTATGCTTATAACAATAAAAGTAAGAAATTATTACAATTAAGTTTTTTAACATGGAATCTCAGTTATTATTCTTTATTACACACATGAAAACACTTATGTACTTTAAACAACATTAATTAAAATCAGATGAGCAGCTTTGAAATGACATCAATTTCTTTGCTTTCCCAACTAAGCCGGGTAAAAAAATAATAATGATTGTAAAATTTCAAGATCACTACAATTGATTTGTATAGGATGACTCAGGAGATCGCCTTCCCATGAGGTGAACCGGGTTCGAATCCCAGCGATGGCTGGTAGATATAAATTCTGCATCCGGCTTGCACCGATCACAGTTCTGACGTAAAATATCATAAGATGTAGACGAATCATGGGATAGAGTTCCCTAGCCGTCAGGCTAACTATGGGAGGTTTTCGTGCTCTTTCTCTCCATGTAACGCAAATGCGTTGTAGTTCCATCAAAAAGTTCTGCAGAAAGGCAAATTTCTCCCAAAACATCACCCAGGTGTTCCCTTGTCTTCTGGATTGAGTTCAAAATTGCAAGCCTACGTAGTTCACTATTAGTAGTCGTAATTAGTAGTCTTTGCTTCAGCCGGTGTTTTCCCTGGAAGTGCTTCTGCCTCCTTTGCCAATTATTTCGACGCGTTGCCACAGATCGTCGCCAAGCCTACCTTTATTAGTGATCCTTTTCCTTGCTGAGTGGTCACGTGTGCGCACTTTGCGTCTACAGTATTCTACGGATTCCCTCCGATGGGGGTGAGACGGGATTGAGCTTCGATTAGTAGTCGTAAACCCAAAAAATTGGGTCAGCTGTACAACGTGGGTTACGGAAAAAATAAAAAATTATAAAGAAAAATGTATATCCAGAGCCTTTCAGGATATCATAGCACTGATTTTATTCAGTGCCATGACTACATTGACCACATTCTGTAGTGGTTTGGAGCAGCTAATCAATGTGATACGTACCTTGCAATTTCCTCCTGTGGAACCTGGGACTCCCTAGAAAACTGTTTTTGATGGTGGATAATCGTGACTTCCAATATGGAGGATTGATACTAGGCGAACCAGGGGGTGTATTGAGGGGGCTTTCGTCGGGAGTCGACCTCGGATTAGGTTTAGGAGAATTCATGGGCGATATGGAAGGACTGCCAGTATGCAGGTTACCACTGCCTCTCCGATTTCGACTGTAAAATGATTTCAAAAATGAGTTTCAATTTTAAAAATTTAGTTAAAGTTTTTGAATATTAGTTAACTTATCGAAAAAACATTTGAATACTACAATAAGTTTCCGCCGTTCGTCACAGGATGACATTACAACAAGGTTACGTAGAAATGGTCTGGTGTTAAACGACTTATTGTAGGTTTGTACATCTGGTAACACGACCTTTAAATATTAGCGATTACGTATAAGCAATACGCAATTGTTTTCGTACAAAAATGTCAAGTTTTGTGCCACATAAGTGTCATTTGCGGGAACTTTTGATTTACTTCTTTAATTTGAAGTGGGTGGTTTCAGAAGTTTAAAAAGGGTGAGTTTGACGTGGAAGACAAAGAACGCAGTGGAAGGGCGAAATAATTCGAAGACAAGAAATTAGAAGAATTATTGGATGAAGATTCATCCCAAACGCAAAAGGAATTTGCTCTTACATTACATATGTTTCAAGCAATTTCATATTGTTTAAAATCGTTGGGAATGATCCAAAAACAAGGAAATTGGGTTCCACACGAACTGAAACGAGCAGACATTGAACGTAGATTTTGCATGAAAATAGATTTTCCTACTTGTCAGCACATAAATGGGAAATCCTACCACACCCGCAGTATTTACCAGACATTGCCCCTATCAGATTATCACCTATTCCGGTCGATGGCACATGGTCGGTCTGTCTGATCAGAAATTTACATCATTTGAAGAAACCAAGGAATGGGTCGATTCGTGGATATCCTCAAAAGTTGAAGAGTTCTTCCGACGTGGTATTCGAATGCTCCCAGAAAGATGGAAAAAAGTAGTGTCTAGTAAAGGAGAATACTTTGGATAAAAGATAAAGTACCGTTTTTTCACAATAGACTGTTATTTTTTGATAGAAAATGGCGGAAACTTATTTGTACTACCAATAAATAGGTCTTTTTTTTCTTCTTTTCAATCTGAGTTTTTTAAATACCATTTTAATACGTAAAAGTAATACAAGAACCAATTCCAGAATTTTTGTCGAAATTCAATTGACATTGTATTCATCATTGCCTGGGCATTAAACAAAATAAAAAACGGCATGCCTGCAAAATAACTTAACTATACCAGTTAAAATTATAAAAGTTTTTATTTCATACTTTTAATTAATATAATCATGTCTGAATAGAAAGAGTTAAAAGTGATTTCTTGGCTACAACGACTTTCATAAGAGACCATAAATTTCCAGTAATCACCATATATTTTTAATAATATCTGGTATAGATATTTCCTATACTAAAATTCTTCAAGACAGAGAGTGTATTCTTGTCCGATATTCCTTACATTGGTATTTTTTAAATAAAGAGTCCGTTATTCTCATATGATTAATAATATTAAAATTAGCCGGTTAAAGTTAATTTTGTGCTTCATTAAAAATTGCTTTATTAAACAAGGCAAATTTTATGTTGTTATAGTTTTGCTATAGTTATAGTTGCTATATATTTTTGAGTCGATGACCTCATCAGCCCAATATTTTTACATATGAAAAGAAATGAACGTTCTCTCCCCGAAGTATACTTTCTGCAGAACTATACTATTATACAATATCTAAAAAACTTTTAAGTGAAATGATTAAGTATTGTATAGAATAACTTAAGTCATATTTCTTATATATAATAAGACAAATGATAGTTCTCATATATCTACCAAGTCTGAAAATACCACGCATCACATACAATAACTACATTTCGTTTTTACATTAGTTCAGATACTACAATGATGCGTTTGTTATAATTAACGAACTATTAAACGTTACGACTCATTATATTTCACTCTATAACATGTGACGTGAGCCATTTTGCACATTATTGAAATCTAAAAACATTAATCATTTATTCTTAAATTTTATTTTAAATAAAGCAATAGTTATTCTTTAACCTCAAAGATGGCGCACTATATTTGAAACTTGGGAATCATATTATCATTTTTGGGAGCCAACTTAAGCGGTTTGATGTGAACAATTAAAGATGACGTCACTCACCCATAAGGATACCGTCTGGGTTGGAGAGGAGAACCATCACTAAGTTGGAATTCAAATCTGAAACAAAAATACCAAAATGTGCTGATTTTGTCCACTTTTCTATTTTGGAGTCTGATTGTGTAAACAAGAGTCTTACCTGGGTCCAGTATTACCATTCACAACTACAGTATCAACCCGTTTCCGAGGCGGATCAACTGTAATAAGAAGTTCACTTAATGATTTCAAATGTTACAGTTAAAACATTCTTTCATAAATACACTCTTTATCACTGTTAAGTAACAAAAAAAAAACTATTAAATTATAGTTAAGCTTAAAATTTTTTTTTACTGTTTCTAGGTGGAAATCAGAGATGCCAACTTGCTCCGGACAGCAAAAATATATTTTAAATTGGTAGATTATCAATTGGGATTCTTGGTTTAATAAATTCAATTTAGTAGATTTTTATTCACCACTATTTCGAAATAATTCATAGGCTTATATAATTCACCACTTTACAGTACTTATGTCTAGGTATACCTTTTAAAAACCAAGAAAAATAGTCAAATATTTGCAAAATTTACTTTGTAGTTATTTACCGTTTTTTTAATTATTTTGGCGTGTCCGGAGCAGTTGGCATCTCTGGGAAATCCCCACTGTTCAGTGACGCTAAACAACCTGGATGATTGCTTCGCAATAATAGCTGTTTCTTTAGCATAAAACAGTTGGAACTATTCAACTAAAAATATATGTACTAAAAAGAACACTTCCCACGTCCAAATATTTCCCTTATGGGATACTATTAAGATCTAAAAGTGAGCATAAATCATTTTTCAAAGTAATTATTTTTTGAAATAACATTTAAAATTAAAAGTATACTGTTATAACAAATTAGGTGTGTTCACAACTTTAATATTTTTTGTATTCATCACTTTGTTCATGAAATTGACAGTTAAATTCTGAATCATTTAACGAATCTCTTTTATCGTACATTAATGCAATTCATTGTAGTATATTAATGTAATTTGCTCCAGAAAATACTAATTTATAAGAATTTTCACAAAATTTTTTAATATTTTTGCTTACCAAACGAATGCATGTATTTTAAATATATTTTTTGTATTCATCACTTAGTGTAATATTAATGTAATTTTCTCCAAAAAATAATAAATGTAAAAATCGTCTTAAACTCTTGATTTAGAAATCAAACAAAATCAAAAACGTAATAATAACAATACAGGTAATTTTAACCTTTAAAGGTTAAAATTAACTGTACTGTTATTGTGACGTTAGGGAAACAAAAATATTTATAGGAAAACAATAACTTTACTACTTATATCAATTTTATGCTGATGACAATCATGCCAATATTAAAATTAATGTGGGAAAAGTAGATCCTACGATGTGATTTTCCAGCCAATAATGTATTGACAACCATTGAAAATTGTGACACATGGAAAATTTATTAAATTTAATTATCACCATCATTATAATTTAATTATCACCATCATTTTATTTAACCATCATTAAATTTTCATATATAGGAAGAAAAGTGCTCAAATTTTAAAAGTTAAAAATATATAGAAAATATGGAAAATTAAGCAAATTGAGTTTTGCTCTGAATTTTCTTTACATTTTATTTTCTGTTTTTTGCTTGATATGTTTTATTTCGTATATATTTTTTACTTATTGTGTTCTATTCTTGTTTAAATTTTAAAGCTTCTCACACTATTGTATTGATATATTTTGTTTTGGCTATATTAATAAAATGTTAGAAAGCACACCTTTTTGCGGGTATAATCGTGTGAGCTGATGGAGAGATTATATATTTTTCCGATTATTTTGTTTCCCGACTTAATATAATTATTTTTAAATATTTAAAAAAATATTTTATTTGAATAATTTTTCTTTTTCTCTTTTCATAAATATTTTCCATGTTTTTTTCAATATTTTTAACTTATATAAAACAATAAAGACGAAAAGGATAAAAAAGAAAAGAGCGAAAAAATAATTAATGCATCATATTTACTGCGCATGAGCGACAAGTATATAGAACTCATAAAATACGTTGAAAAACTCTGAGAAAACATGGAAAATATTAAAGTTTAATGAAAAGAGAAAAAGAAAATTTATTAAAATAAAATATTAAAGATTAATGAAAAGAGAAAAAAAATTATTAAAATAAAATATTAAAGATTAATGAAAAGAGAAAAAGAAAAATTATTAAAATAAAATATTAAAAAATTATGAAAAGAGAAAAAGAAAAATTCTTAAAATAAAATATTAAAGATTAATGAAAAGAGAAAAATAAAATTTATTAAAATAAAATACTAAACAAAAAATTAAAAAGTCTGAAAACAAAAAAAAAAATGAAAAGAAAAATAATCTCTTCATCAGCTCACACGATTATATCCGCAAAAAAGAGTGCTTCCTAATATTGAATCAATATTTCCAAAGCAAAATATATCAATACATTGGTGTCATTGAAGCAAAATAGAACACATTAAGTAAAAAATATACCAAGTTAAAAACAGAAAATAAAATGTAAAGAAAAAACAGAAAAAAAAGAAAGGATTCTTGTAGTGAAGAAATTACCTGCATATTTTCCATTACCTGACTCGGATCGACTTCTAAGAATGACTTCGGTTTCATCTTCATAAGAGGGTTTTCTTTTCTTCCGATCCAGCAGAAGAAAATATATCACTTTTTCTGTATTGTGACTGCAAACAATAATGATTCATTTAGTATACTCAACATTATTAATAGAGTCTTTGTCAAAAAATGGAATGCAGAAAAATACACGAATGCCAACATTAAATAGATATTATAAATTGAGGGTATTCTTAAGTTACTTAGGATTAGAAAAATTAAAAACGATAACAAGAAATTATAAATAACACTGCATGGTTTACTGCATTCTGCTTCGGAAACGAATTAATTTTTAAAGATAGAAATGGCCTTAAAAATTCCAAAAATTAGTTTTTTTAATATCTAATTTTTTGTGATATGAATTGATGTTAAAAAATAATATTATTTTCGTGAAGTATACACACTCTAATTTATTTATAAGCAAATCTTTTCAAGTACAACTGCATGAAAAATATAATTTTAAAACAATATTAATTAATGCAATTATGTAACTACGTGTCATTACATTAATTTTTAAGTAATTTCTCATTTTTTAAAAATTTTTTGATTGGAAACATTTCCTGAAATGAATTCAACATATTTTAACATGCAGTCCTTTTTTTTAATATAAGAGTATTTATTTTATAAATCTCATTTTTTATCTCTGTAAAAAAATTTGTTAAATAATTCAATTAAATTTTTTGAAATTTGTTAATGGCCAAAACATTCAAAAAATAGTTAATTTATACTTAAACGATGTTAGTGAAAAGTCTTTTTGAAATGCATATGACAGTAAAAATGCCTTTTAAGTTACATCTTCATTTTTGTAAATTTTTTGTCTAAAAATGAAGGCATTAGGCATAGCTGGTACAAAAAAGTTAATTTTTAGCATAAAAAAATCTTTTTAAAGGTCGATAGCCTCCTCAAGAGGACGCCATAACGCGGGAGAAAAATTTCCGCTCAAATTCTCTTTTTTCCTTCATTACTAATTTAAAGTGTAGAAAAAATGAGTTCAGACAAACCTAGAGTAATCCATGAAGTTTCAAATACTGAAAAGAAAAATATAAAATATACAAATGAAAACAAATTACGAGATAATAAATTAGGATTACGTAACGGAGAATTTCTCTTCTAATAATTTGTTTGCATTTCAATATTTTGAAGTATTTTTTTCACAAATTGAAACTTCATGACAAAGTCTAAGTTTGCCTGAAATTACTTTTTCTTTTATATAAATTTTAAATTAGTAATAAAGGAGAAAAAGAGAATTTGCGAGGAAAATTTTCTTCCGCAGTATTGCGTCCTCTTAAAGTTTAAAAAATAAGTATGACGTAAATCTCCTAATATACCTTAATAATTCATAATATATTAGACAGCACTGCCAATTTTGGTTTTGCTTTCAACGTTATCAGACACTGGGTTATGACGTTGATAACAATAGTTAAAATGAATAGATTTTTTACCTCAACTAACCACACCCATCAATGAATGTCATATGAGAAAGAAAGAGGCACTATTTTTAGTTCAATACACTGTACAAAAAGGACATTTAAGACATATTTGAAAGGAATTAAAAATAAAAATTTATACGTTTTTATTACATAAAATATGCCGCACGAAAATGCTAAACAATATTAAATTATACCATGTTTTGATTTAATTTTAGTTCATTTTGCTGCTGTTATTTTCGTTACTAATTGAAAGTATGAGTTCGATCCCGGTAATGGCTGGTCGATACGAATTCCGCATCCGACTTGCACCGACCACAGTGCTGACGTGAAATATCCTCAGTGATAGACGGATCATGGATTAAAGTGAGTCTAAACGTGAGAGGTTTTCGTGGTTTCCTCACCATGTAAAGCAAATGTGGGTAAGTTCCATCAAAAAGTCCTCCACAAAGGCAAATATCTCCCAATACTCGGTCCAGGAGTTCCCTTGTCTTCTGAATCGGGTTCAAAATTACAAGGCTCCGGAGTTGAACATTAGTAATCGCAAACCCAAAATTTGGGTCGACTGTTCAACGACGGTTATAAAAAAAAATAAAAACGGTGGTGCAGATGATAAAACACTCGATAACCCGGGTTCGAATACCAGAGATGGCTGGTCTATACGAGCTCCACAACCAGCTCTTACCGACCACAGTGCTGATGTGAAATATCCTTAGTGGTAAACGGATCATCGGTTAAAGTTTCCTAACCGTTGGATGCTTTCGTGGTTTTCCTTACCATGTAGAGCGAATGTGGTTTAGTTCCATCAAACAGTCCTCTACGACGGAAAATTCTTCTTAATACTTTATCCAAGAGTTCTCTTGTCTTCTAGATTGGGTTCAAAACTAGAAGGTTATGTAGTTGAACATTGGTAGTGGTGAATTCGAAATTGGGTCGGCTGTTCAACAGCGGTTATAAAAAAAATTATAAAATAAAGAAGGTATTCTCGAAATTACATCTCTATTATCTATTTGAAGAGTATTAGAACACTAACGTAATTTGAATACATATATTTCCAGCGGCCTCCTTCATTTTCTGAGAGCATTAATTAATATTCGGATTTCTTGTAATTCTATTTTTAAAATAGAGGGAGAAATATTTGCTAAAAATTAAATTAAAAACTAAAATTTAAAAAGAAACATCTGTAAAAGTTAAATGTTAAACGAACAATCTATTTAATGGATGCGAGAAAAGTTGAAGAAATATATCACAAATGAAAAAAGTCTCAGCAACTATCTATTCGAAGCAAAGCGTTTTTTTCTAGAAAAAAGAAAAGAATAAAAGTCTAAATCAATATTCTTACTCAGCTTTGAGGAGCTCTTCGATCAACTTTTCTTTGTCTTTGAAACAACCTAGTGACGTCATACTCGATAGAACGTCAGGATCAATATCGTCTGAAGACGGGATCACATGCGTCTACAACAAATAAACACAACGCTTTATATGCTTACTTTCGCAAAACAAAATAATTACACGTTGTCATCGTTTTTGAATAGTAAATTATTGAATTAAATACTTGATGGACTCCATAGAAGAACATAATATTGACTTCACAAATTCCAATGTGTGTACAAAGTGTTTTATTTTTTTAAGCTTATGTGGAGAACGTGTTAAGTGACTTTCCAACTCACAATGTTCAAATGTTTTTGTATTATTGGATACATTTGGAGCAGATAATTTAAGATTCAGACGTAAGTAAAACACTTTTTAAGTGACGTTCTAAATTATGAATCAGCTGTCCTACATTTACGTAAATTGAGGTAATTTATACAAACATAGGGGAAGAACGTGTTAAGCAACTTCTCTAATAGTAGCGTCACATCACACGTTTTTGTCAGTTTTGAAAAATAAATTATTTAGGCGTAACTGAAAAGATTTGAGGAATAGCATGCTAAGTAGCATTACAAATTGAAAAGTACTGCCGGTCCAAAAGTGTTAAATCGGTTACACAAAACACAAAATAAATAAGATGTCAACCTGAATAACCTTTGGTCTAACGATCGGATTTTCCCCTAAATTCTTCAAAAAAAGTAACCTCAAATAAGCTAATTAATTAGAGTTAGGTTTTAATTATGTTGCAAAATAAGACACAAAAACTAAATTTTTTTGAAAAAAAATAACCTTTTTTGCTGTAACTAGTATTTTAACTGCAAAAATATGGGAGATAGCAGGCAGCTATCTGGAAAATAGTAACCTAATAGTTGAGCCAGAAGAGCGGTTGAAATTAAATCGGTACCTAATGTTAATTTCCCTTTTTACGTATTTCACTATATCTCGTGAATTTTAATGCTAATCATAAAAAAATTATGACAAAGCTGTTTTTTTATTGTTAATACAACTGCTGTGTAGTATAGTAATATAAATATATTGTTCATGGGCTGCAATAGTGGCACAACGCAAAAAACACGCGTTTTGGACTTAGAACAGGTGTAAATATGAAAATACACATTCTTTCCGCAGCAATACTAGCACAACTCATAATTCAACTTGAAGGTAATCTTCGTTTAAGCAAACTAAAGCATTTCTTATGCATTTTCCTTAGCAATAAAAACTTTAAACCCACTTCTCAAAACTTGATATTTTGAGTTGTGCCGATATTGCAAGCCCATGAGCGATATTAAATATTCTATGAATTTCAATAAATTTCTGAAAAATCATAACTATACTCACCTGGACAACTTCTTTCATTGGTAATTCTAGTTCTAATTCAGTTTTACTTCCTCTAAAAATTGGAAAACAAAAAAGTAATGTAATTTTTTAGAAAAAAATGTTGGAATTGTTAAAACAATAAAATTCCAGCTTCGGAAAAATAAAAATCTATATGTTTCCACACAGAAAAAAATTTTAAAACAATATTAAGACACGTGTAACGAAAAATTATTAAAAAATGTTAGTTTAAATTAGAATAAATGAAGTTTTACAAACAATCAACTTTCAATTTGATAGAATATAAAGATTTAAATGCTAATATCATTTAGAATATATCTACAGATTTAGAAATAAAACCTGAAACTAGATAAATAAAAAGGCGTGAAAAGGCATAAATTAAAACTCCTAAACTTTAATAAACGTAAATATGTGTATGAAATTCAAACACAAATAAAAACAAAAATTATTTTGGAGAAAAAGCGTAATAAAAGTCAGTTTATATCTCCATTTAAGAATAAATCAAACTATCAGCAGCTACTGAAAAATTAAACTTACACTTAAAATTACAAAAGCAATTTTAATATGTCAAGTAATAAAACCAAAAAGCGTTTTAGTGAAAAGGCGTAATAAAAGTCAGTTTATTTCTCCATTTAAGAATAAATGAAATCTGCAGTTCTTGAAAAATTAAACTCATACTTTTAATAACAAAAGCAATTTTAATATGTTAAGCAGTAACACTAAAACTTATATTTGTTGATTCTTTAAGCAATGAAACAAAATACTAGGTGCATGAAAAAATTTAAATGTTGATTTATTTAGAAATTCACATTTAAACTTACGCAGTAACCCAGGAATGTTTCGTTACATCTGCTAACTGTAAAGAGAAAGAAAACATGATTTGCAGTCACAAATTAATAATCAAACATATGCAGAATATAATAACAAGTTAATAACAAGCATATGCAGTGTTAAATCTAAACTTTTAGATCATAAATAATTACAATGATTCATAGTAGGATAGTAAAAATAGTTTAATTTCGTTCCTCTTTAAATTCGCTGCCTGCTAGTAAGCTGAGTAAGACGGAATTTTTATATTTTACAGTCCTTAACAACCACATAGTTTTATTAAAAATGAATTTTAAAACGTTAAATAACCCTTTTTACTGCCATGTTTAATAATGTAATTTTAAAATATTAATGGTATTGTGGGGATAGTAGTTATCGACAATGTCAACATTCATCTGTGAAAAGGTACTCCAACATAAAATCGAAGTTAACATGTCTTATATTCCAGTGAATTGGAATTTTATTTTTGTAGTGGTAGAATACAAAACTCCCCCACCCGAATTTTATCTGTGATAGAACTCTATGTACGGATACCACTTGCTACCGTATTTGCGAAAGACCGAGAGAGCTGTATTAAGTTCACTGCGCTTGGAGCGTTTGTCCTGAGGGCAGTATTAAGTTCACAATTGTGTGTGTGTTACCTCCTGTGTTGCTATTAGCAATAGAGTGTTTACAGGCCGAAGTTGTGTGTGATCGAGACTGAGTAGCAACAGCGTGAGGAGGACAAAGTCGCTGTCACAAACAGCAAGTCAGCTGTTCAAATGTGGACCATCCATCTAAGGAGTGTAACAGCCGAGGTAGGCGAGTTCATATCGCGTCCGGGTCACCACTTCTCTTTGGCGAGATAGGTTGCGTGCATTAAATTCTGCATTTTAGAGTGGTCAATCGTCAAAGATAATAAAGGAAAAATACGAAATTTAAACATAACTTTAATGACATATTAACAACTGAATTAAAAGCACCCAGGATTATAATAAAACACGTAGAACAAAAGAATAGAAGTAAAGCAGAGCGTAAAGGAGAGAAAGAACAAAATTTTACTATGGTACTATATATACATTTCATTCAATTGAAATTCAGTTCAGTTCGTTATACTTCAGGATTGTTGTTGTTCATTAACGTCGCACTAGGGCTGCACAATGGGCTATTGGCGACGGCCTGGGAAACATCCCTGAGGATGATCCGAAGACATGCCATCACAATTTTGATCCTCTGCAGAGGGGATGGCACCCCCGCTTGACCTGCACGCGAAATCGAGCACTTTACAGTAAAAAAGTTTAACGAGGACAAATACCGCACACCCTCGATTCCTACGCAGACTAATCCAAGTGGTCACCCACCCGCACACTGACCGCAGCCAGTGATGCTTGACTTCGGAGATCTACTGGGAACCGTGTCTTAAAGATCTGTCCACTGCGGGACGAAGACGATTACAGAGAACTCATTGAATATACATAGAAGTTCACAAGTTCGCCAGGTCACTAACTTTGGTACTTGAACCTATGTTGATTACCCGCATTTTTGAGATTGAATTATTAAAAAAATCATTTCGCTCATTACTTAAAATTAATTTGATTTTTAGGGCCATATTTTTTGGCGGGAAAGTGGACGGGATTTTGAAAATTTTACTTTCTGTAAAGAACCACCTATAAACTTAATAACGTTAATTCTTAAACTTGATAAACTTGCTATAATAATCTTTAATTGCATGCTTCTAATTTACCATATTAATGAATTCTGTGCTCATAATTACAAATAAATTCTATGAGAAATGATCAAACGAACGAACTCATGATATCAAGTGCTAACCTCACATCTTGACCCTACACCAATCTTTACTATTTCTCACATTTATGAGCACGAAGTCTTTTAGTTAGCTTTTAATACAACAAATCATTCATTAGAAAATAACTTCCGATCGACATATAAAAATTAATGACGATAGAGGGAGGTATATTTCCCTCTAACTTATAAATGGTTACAAAATGATTCTATCAAGAAAATTAAATTTATTTTAAAACGTTTTTAGTTAAGAATACATGTTTTTTACTAATAAATTCATAATTCATTCATTATTTTGTTTTAAAAAAAATAATGTAAGTAATACAAAGAAATGCGTAACGGGTGTTTTGAACTCTTGGTAATCAAACAGGTTTTGAGATTCTCAGACCAGTCTTTCTCAATAGTAATTTATTAGATACCGATAACGGTATTACTTCATCTTTATTTAGAAATTCACATTCAACTCCTAACGCGTATACTTTTTTGACTTCATTTTTAACAAAGATTTAGAACCTGTATATTAAAATCTTTCACTGCGGAATACCTTGTACGGAAAAAAATGCGTACAAATGTTTACAACACACAAGTGTACAAGTTTATCAAAGCTAAATGTGTACACTCTGGCCACTTGAACAATAAAATGTATATTTAATCAATTAATCCAAATCGGATATTTTTCCGGAGATTGAGGTCTTTTCCTCACATTTTAACCCTTTAAAAGGTCGTGATAAGTATACTTCCCACCAATTTTTAATGTCGATGGGAAGCTATTTTCCCACTTATGATTTGTATGACCTTCCATCTACTGATAACTTTAGAAAATACAAAAAAATACCAATGAAAAGCTTCGTATATATAAATAGGGGTAACAGTAAAGGTTAACGTGCGGTCAAGAAGGTAGGCAAACACCAGGTTACTATTTTTTTTTATGCGTTCATTCATTTCATCATTTCTTATGGCGTTTATTTGTTATTGTCAACCCATAATTCATAAATTCGGTTTTTTACAGGCATAGAAGTTCACGTTTATGGGCAAATCTTTATAATAAGTGAAATTTTGAAAAAAAACATTACATTGCTAGAAAATAACACAAATATAATGGACTAAGATAAAAAAAAAATATATTCTCAGTAAAAACACGTATATAAAAACACATATTCAGAAAAGTGAACCATTAAGTTGGGTAGAAATAAAAAATATTTTTTTTAGAATTTCATTATAAAAAGTGAAATTGCATGTATAAAAAACTAGACAAAAATGCGGAAGTGTCAAATGAGTGAGCGAAGTCATGTAGAGTCCTGAAAAATCTAACAAAAAAAGACATGAGTTAAAAAAAAAACATGTTACGAGATCAAGAAAAAATAAAAGAACCAGACAATTTTTAGAATTAGCTGATTAGTTTGGAGATTTATTCCCTTTATACCCGCCAGTGTTTCATGCTCTTCACGGTGGGGGTCAGTATTTGTGGAGGTTGTTTTAACTTCTGGTAGGAGATTCAGGTAGAAGAATTTCTGCAGGTGTAAACTAAATTGCGTAAATCCACATTTCAACGATTAGGTAATTGCATATCATAATAGATAATTTCCCTAAGTATTTCTTTTTCATCAGATATTTTAAAATATGAAGAACACATTTTTTCACAAAAACACGAAACAATTAAATTCAGGGCAAATGAGTATTTGGTTGTTGTTGTTAATTTACGTCGCACTAGAGCTGCACAATGGGCTATTGGCGACGGTCTGGGAAACATCCCGGAGGATGATCCGAAGACATGCCATCACAATTTTGATCCTCTGCGGAGGGGATGGCACCCCCGCTTCGGTAGCCCGACGACCTGCGTGCGAGGTCGAGCACTTTACGGTAGCACAGTTTAACGAGGACCAATACCGCGCATCCTAGGACCCTACACAGAGTGATCCAAGTGGTCACCCACCCGCGCGCTGACCGCAGCCAGTGATGCTTGACTTCGGTGCCGTGTCTTAACGATCAGTCCACTGCGGGACAATGAGTATTTGGAATATATACAAACAAACCCAGAACGTCAAATGAAGAATTAGTCACGTCAATGCTATGACGTCAGAAGAGGATCTCAAGACTTCCGGTAGGGTTTGTTTATTTTTCTAGGATAGATGCTGGACATTTCTGTTGAGAATGGCTTTGTTTGTATTTAAGGTTTATACTGACCCGTTACGGGTATTTCAATTTATTTTTGCTTTTTTTATGTGCTGTTGTTGCGTTAAATAAATTGATTTTATAAAATAAAAAATAAATAAGAAAAACTGTTTCTTCAAGTTAGTTAGATTCGTTACAGTGATCCGAAAGGAACTGTGATAGAATGTGAGTCCAGAAATACTAAAAAAAAAAAATCAAAACTTCACAGAAATACTAAAAAATTCAATGCTAAACCTTTACTAATCCAAAATAATGATCTGAGCATGAATAATAATGACTGCATGAATTATATTAAAAATAGTGAAAAGAATAATACGATACGAAAAATGATGAATGAGTCATATGAAAAATAATGAAAAATTCAAAGTTAAACCTTTACCAAGCTACGAATGAATAATAGCGACTACATGAATAATATTAAAAAGAGAGAAATGAAAAATATGATATGATAAATGATGATGGGTGATATGAATAATAATGAAAAATTCAAAGTTGAATTTCTACTAAGCTACAATAATGACATGAGCATAAATAATAGTGACTATATGAATAATATTAAAAAAAGAGAAATGAAAAATATGATATGATAAATGATGATGGGTGATATGAATAGTAATGAAAAATTCAAAGCTTAATTTTTACTAAGCTACAGTTATGACATGAGCATGAATAATAGTGACTGTATAAATAATATTACAAATTGTGAAAGGAATAATGTGATATGATAAATGATGATGAGTGATATGAATAATAATGAAAAATTCAAAGCTGAATTTTTACTAAGCTACAATAATGATCTGAATATGATTAATAGCGACTATATGAATAATATTAAAAGGAGAGAAATGAAATATATGATATATGATAAATGATGATGGGTGATATGAATAAGAATAAAAAGTTCAAAACTAAACCTGTACCAAGTTACAATAATGACCTTAATATGAATAATAGTGACTGTATGAAAATTATTAAAAATAGCAAAATGAAAAATATGATGGGATAAATGATGATATGAATAATAGTGAAAATTTTTAAAGCTAAACCTTTACTAAGCTACAATAATGACCTGAA